TACCATAAATTAGTAAATTGTTATAAATTAAGATATAATCCGTTGATTTTGCCTACCATAAATTAATGATTTTGATATAAACGATTTAGACTTAAATGATTAAGGAAATATATACATATTATGGATTTTAAATGATTAAGGAAATATATATTCAAAGAAAATCGAATAGGATAATGATTACTTAATAAATAATTCTTCAATTTTTAATATATAATGAAATGACAAAAGTTTATTAATAAAAATCTTACAAATAAAAAGTTATATTATCAAATGTATTTATAAAATGTTAATATAGATTGATTTGGTTGGTCAAGTTAAAAATTAAAATAGTTTAAAAAGTCAACTACATTGAATATTCCATACTAAGAAAACATGGAATGGTTTCCATTAAAACAAATATTAAAATACTCAATGTTTAAAATTTCGATCAAGATCTTTATAAAATATTTGAAATTAAGAAAATCTTGCCAATTAAGCTAAATTTTAGGCATTGTATCTTACAAATAAAGTTAAATATCAAACGTAATAATTATCTTTCCTTTAATATTGAAAACCAATTTTTTTTTTTTATCAACTGAAAAATGAACGATGGAGATTAAATCTCTAAACCCGATTAACATATCCGTTTAGTTAGTTAGATCCGCGTGTTAACCCAGTTAGAAATGATAATTATTTCATTTTGAAATTATAGTGTAAATTCATTGTGTACTTCAGATTTAATAGTATAGATATAGAACTATAATTCCTATTTATTCGGGTCTAGTTGTATTGATTAACTTTTGTGTTTTGGTTGGGTTTGTATAGAGATGTGTGATACAAGTGCTAGGTGGGCAGCTGCAACCAGGTATACCTGGTTACATAACGGCTCAAGGACGAACCAACCCTTACGACGCGAATGGATTCATCTTCATAAACAGCCTCGTTTATGGAACGGGGATGGCCTTCTTGGGAAGAGCGTGGAGAGGTTACTCTAGAGTGATATTTTACAACTCGAACCTGACTGATGTGGTTGTTCCTGAAGGATGGGATGCATGGAACTTTGATGGACACGAAAACCAACTGATGTATGCAGAACATGGATGTTTCGGAAGTGGAGCAAAGACAGGAAGACGTGTGAAGTGGGTTAAGAAGCTGAGTGGATCTGTTGTCCAAGATTTGGCTGATCTTAGCTTTATTAATCGTGGTGGATGGGTTGAAGATTTGCCTATTCCTGCTTGATCTCTCATGTTTTTTTATTAGATTTCTTATAGTGATCGATCATCCCCTTTTTTTTTTTAATTTGTTTAACCAAAATGTAGTATGTTTTGTTATGCTTTTGTGTCCTTTTATCTTTGACATTTGACATTGAAATAACAAAACGTTTCAACGAGCTTGGTTTTATATATCTTTCTATGAATTTCACCATATTAGCAAATCTTGTTTTGTATTTTGTATATTGTTGTTACTTGTTGGGCCTCATGACACCTTTGCAACTATGCCCAATAAATCCATTTATCCCTGTTAAGACTAATCCTCGTGTCACAAACATACCTATCAAAGCTTTTCTATGTTGAGTAAGATTTAACTGTATTCCATATAATCTGTCAAGAAACATATATCACAAAAATAGAAAAATTTGGAAAAGAACACCATTTCAACTACACTAATCGTATGGCTTGAATCAACTCTGATGAATCATTTGTTGTAACTCAACTGCAGTCATATCATAGTACCAATCATCTAACCTCACTATTTTTCAACTGATGAAACAGAAAAGCATGAAACAACCCTTGTCTTTGCCATCGACATCAGACTCATAGATCAATTTTTTTTCAATTTTAGTAGTTAATAATATTCTAAAGAATAAAACATATATAAAGTCACAAATCGGCGAAGTTGGTAGAGACATCAATATAAAATATGTCGAAGCCATGTGTTTGACTCAACTTGTTCAGTTGTTATAACTTATATTTCTTCTTTGGTTTTTGTTTTATTCTACTTATATCAATAAGGTTTCCAAGAGTTGGTAAATCAAAGTTTCTTAATAATTTTGTTTTGTTTGGTCTCAAAACTATAATTAGTGTAACATTCGTTCTTATATAAAACGAATGATATATATTAACGGATGATGAATATTATTTCATTTTTGAAAATACATAACCTTATGCTTCAAATGGTATTGTTCGTATTTACGATTTCGAGATGAACATATGTGATATGTACAATTATTTTGCAATTAGTATTTTTCCTAATGGAGGTGTTCTCAAAGGGAATTAAAATACACAAACAACTCAAGAGTTTAGTGTACTTATGTTACTTATTTAGTCTACTATGGTGGACGCATGCATGTTTCACAATTATTATTTAATCAAAACAGGGTTGGTGGATAGAGATAGTTTTATACATTTTATGATTTTTTTAACATATGATATTAAAATTTAGTTGTTAATTATTGATTTTCTTTTCAACTACCTATAATTGTTTTTCTTCTACATTACTATTTTTTCCCAGCGCCTTACGCAATGATATTAAACATAATTTTAACAAAACAAATATTATAATAACTATGAAATTAAAAGTACAGATGTTTTTAACAAAACTTTATTTAAAGCTTCCATATATCTAAATAACATTTTCATTACCATCAAAGTTTGTATAAAATTTTGGATACAAACATTTATATTCTATACAGTTGACATTGACTAACTCGCTATGTAACATATAATTCACATAAAAACATGCCTATAAAAATAAATTTTGATCATATGAGTTAAAATAAAATGATAAAATTACTATAATTGGAAATAGTGACATCCCAACTATAACATTTCTATGTTCAAAATAATTATTAAAATTTAATTAAATCAGGTATAGTTTAAAAAGAAATTAAAAGATAACCACTCTTTTTTTTTTTTTTTGTCAAACTTGAAGATACTACTTTAAAAGAAAATTTATCAAAAAAAAATCAATCTACTTGTTTGCCTTTGTTTGTTAGTGTTTTCTATTTTGCATTTCTACTTTTAAAATATGACTTCTTAGTTATGAACCTAATATCAAAAATTAAGCTACATAGTCCTAAAAAAAAGCTTTAAAATTGTTAAAAAAAATCGTGATTTTCCGTTATAACATAAAAATGATAATTTTACTCAAAACCAAAATCGATGAATATAGGCTATGCATAAGTATTTTTGGTTTGATTAAATTTGTTTTTATAATCTTTTGCTAGTTTTGAATGCAATTAGTGTATTCAAACTTTACTTTTCATTACATAAAAATTCAAATGGATATAATTTTTTATTTTATTTTGTTAAAAGCAAATGGATATAAGTCGATATAACACATTGATATAAGTTTTGCCAATCTGAATTCTAAACCACAATTTTTACATCCGAATTCAATTAGATTTCTAATTCTAACTTTAACCTATCAATTAATGAAAACGACTCTCTAATTAAAAAGAGCTAAAGATAATTAAGAAATAATATAAAAAAATTGTTGATCAATAATTCAACAGTAGATTAATCAATCAAAGTACCTCACTCTCTGCTACAAAATAGATTATTACCAAACATGTTCACACGCAAATCGGAGTAACATATACACATACGTCCAATCTTATATCCACCCGTCTCTTCGCTGTCCAAAACCCGGATCCTGACCCGGATCCGAACCTCCCCTCAATCTTCCTTACCACCCAATTCCATTTTTTTTCCCCTAAAGCTTTGCTTCTTTCACTTTCCCGGTAAAATCGGCGCCGAGAAAAAAGTTGCCTAAAAAGAAATGTACTCAGCGATTCGCTCGCTTCCTCTCGATGGTGGACACGTTGGTCCTGACTACCATGGACCTCTTGATGGGACCAATCTTCCCGGTGACGCTTGTTTGGTCTTAACCACTGACCCTAAACCTCGTCTCCGGTGGACGGCTGAGCTCCATGAGAGATTCGTTGACGCCGTTACTCAGCTCGGTGGTCCTGATAGTTAGTATTTTTACTCATTTAGCTTTTGTTGTCTCTCTCTCTCTGTCTCTCTAATTTGTTAATCTCTTGTTGTTTGAATTTTTTTTGGATCTTGAGATGAAATGTGTGTTTGAGCAAGCTGCTTCTTCTCTTTGCTCAGTTTCTTGCTTGCCCTCTTCAAAAGTTTCGATTTTTCTCTCAAAGTTCAAATATTTCAGACTTGTGAAGAATCTGTTACATGTATCTCTGTATGGTTAATCTAATTGTTCTTGAGACTTGTGGAATCGAGATCTTTATTAGTGGCTTTCTTTATACTTCCCGTAATAGAAGCATATGATGCAGTGTATAAATTTGGTTCCTTTCTTCGAAATCAGTCAAGAGTAGTAATTAAGAAGTGTCAGTATAATTTCTGAAAAATTTGAAGCTTGTGGTTTTCCTATAGCTGATTCTACCCATGCTTTGTTAATGAAGAGACCCTTCTGACTCTCTCTCTTTTTCAACTTACAGAAGCGACGCCTAAAACTATCATGAGGACAATGGGAGTGAAGGGTCTCACTCTCTACCACCTCAAATCACATCTTCAGGTTTGTTTGTTTGTTTACTTCCTCGTTTGCTTTTGAACAAAATGTTTCCGGAGTTATGGTTTCTGATTGACTGTTATCAGAGCTATTTGGTTGATGAGATACCACCTAGATAGCTAGATTTCAATGAGTGGAGACCTTAGATACTGAGATTTCTGGAGTTTTAAGAGTCGTAGACTGTTGTACTTTCCGGGGTTTAACGGTTAATAGCATTAGTAATCCAAAGAATTTTGGGGTGTTTGATGTTGTTATGTTTCTCTCTTATGCTCAACAGAAATTCCGCCTAGGCAGGCAAGCTTGCAAAGAATCAACTGAGAACTCCAAGGATGGTATCTACTCAGTTGACTTTTTTTCTTTTTTGTCTATATCTCTGTTGGTGAAGCCTCTTAGTTCTACTCTCTATCCATATGGCTATTTGGAATCATATTTGTTAGACATTTTGTAGACCAATTTGATGTGAGAGGCATAAGGGACCCTGCTGTTTTTCTCACCTGCGTCATCAGAATATATATCTTAGTTAACTGTTCATGATTTTAAGTTGTCAAATAAAAACTTAATTTTGAAAAAGTAAAATTAAGAGTTTCAATTAGTAGGAGCCCTGTTTTGATGAATCAGTTGTGTGTCCATATATCGTGCCTCTACTAATTATGTGAACTGGACGCTCCAGCTTCTTGTGTTGGGGAGAGTCAGGACACAGGTTCATCTTCAACATCATCATTGAGAATGGCGCAACAGGAGCAGAACGAGTATGGTTACATTTGAATTTTTCCTCTCTTTTCTCTGCTACTGCTGGTTAGCGAAATACATTTTTATGAACCCTCCTTATTTGTTTGCATGCCAGGGGTTACCAAGTCACTGAGGCTCTACGCGCTCAGATGGAAGTCCAAAGAAGACTACACGAGCAATTGGAGGTTAGTTTTCTTTATTTCTCTTGTCATTGATCTTGAAGATACAAAACACATATTTACAAAAAGTTGAGCTCCAAAGTTGCAAACTAGAGTAGAACCCTTATTCTAAGTTCTTAACCAATGTCCAATCCAAAAATTAAAATGTGATTGTTACCACACAAAAAAAAAAAAGAAATTTGGTTCCGCTGTACATATGAACAGTGCTCCTTGTTTCCATCTGTCCTGGATGGACAAAATGAACAAAAGCGCCATTGAGACTGAAAAAATTGCCACTTTTATAGGAGTTTATGCAACAGGCTGTGCTGTTAAAATACAAACCTTTGATTGGTCTTTTAGTATGGGCAGGTGCAACGGAGACTCCAGCTGAGGATAGAGGCCCAAGGAAAGTACCTGCAATCAATTCTTGAAAAAGCTTGCAAGGCCTTTGACGAGCAAGCTGCTGCTTTTGCCGGGCTTGAGGCTGCTAGGGAAGAGCTATCAGAGCTAGCCATCAAAGTTTCCAATGTCTCTCAAGGAACAACTGTTCCGTTCTTCGATGCAACAAAGATGATGATGATGCCATCTTTGTCAGAACTTGCAGTAGCAATAGACAACAAAAACAACATCACAACCAACTGTTCAGTTGAAAGCTCTCTGACTTCCGTCACTAATGGGAGCTCAATTTCTGCTGCATCGATGAAGAAGCGACAACGTGGAGACAATATGGGTGTTGGGTATGATGCGGGCTGGATTATGCCTAGTAGTACCATTGGATAAAGTTTAGGAAGAAAGAAATCAATATGGGAAAGATAGAGATAAGATTTAACTCTTCTTTACTTGCTTTGAGGGGTCTGTAATATTCGATATAAACTTGTCGTCAAAATTTCATCTTAGCCTACTCATGTATATATTTGATATTGAAGCTGAAGCTTTAGTGTTTCCTTTACCCTTGCCTTTAATTATTCTTGTTTTCAAGTGAAAGGATTTAAAGGTAGAAACTATAGAAGACATAAGAAAAAGTTCTATTGATAATTTAATAAACATTGAAATGATGAAAGGGCCACCAAAGTTTCAGCCTTTAACTTTGCTACTATTCGTAATGCCTTTCTTCATTATGCTTTATGCTTTACTTTATGTACTTACGCCTTGTTCCTCTCATCCTACGACCATCAAAATTAACGTTGTGGTGAGTTCTCATATTTTTTTGTGCTATGTTTGAATGTTATAATACAAAGTTTTGAAATACAAAAACCGTGTAGGGAGCATGAATTGCTGCTGTGTTAACTCGGAGAAAAACAAGAAGTATGCTGAGCTGGACGCGAAGCTTGCACGGAAAATGGTGGAGAGCCGGAGGATTTATCCGGGACACCGGAGTTTAAAGTCTATGGATTCAATAATCATGAAGTTTCCTAAGCTAAGAGAAGGATTAAGAAACATCAGAAGCGTTTTCGAATCCTATGGTAAGTTTTCTTGATCTTTTTCAGCTTTCATCAAGATTCCACTGGTTTTTCTTTTTAACATTTTGGTTCTGCGGATATTCTCAGATAATGATAAAAACGGGACAATCGATATCGAGGAGCTGAAGAAATGTTTAGAGGAACTAAAACTAAGCTTATCAGATGAAGAAGTGAAAGGCTTATATGGATGGTGTGATGTTGATGGAAGCAAAGGGATACAATTCAATGAGTTTATAGTCCTTCTCTGTCTCATCTATCTTCTCTCAAAACCTTCCTCTGAATCTAACTCGGTAAATAATCAAATGACAGTATCATAGATAAATCGAATGATCAAATCTAAATTATGTCGTGTTTTCGTAGGAATCGAGAGAGATGGGTCCAAAGTTGGTTGAATCTATATTTGATCCAATAGTGGAAGTGTTCTTGTTTTTGGACAAAGATGGTAAAGGGAAACTGAACAAGGCTGATGTGATAAAGACATTAAACAACGAAGACTATCCTTTAGAGAGATCTCCTTCACATGTCACCAACATGAGATTTGGTACATATAAATCCTGCACACTCTTTCTCTTCTCTTTTTACAATGTGTTTATTCACATGAATTCGATTAAACTCATTGGATTCTATATGTTCTTGTGTGAGTGCAGAAGAAATGGATTGGGGAAGAAAAGGGAAAGTGGGTTTTAGAGAGTTTCTATTTGCTTTCATGAGTTGGGTTGGTCTTGATGATGCAGATGATTACTATACGAGCAGCTAAAAAACCACTTGGAACCATATGACAACTTTGCACATATATTCTGTAGAAACCATATTTCATTATCATGATGTATCAAATGGTGTTAGTTTGGCTTCCTCTGTACACATATATGTACTCTGTTATCAAAGCTTGTTTAATTCATTATTTCTCAATAACCTGACCATTGTACTACAAGCAAGATCTATTGAACTCAGACAAGAATTTGGACAAATATACTTGTAATCATTGATTCTTGGATGAGTCATTGGTTAATCAAAGTACATCCTCAAGTCAAAGTGATATAAAACTCCAAATCAAACGAAGCACAAACATCAAACTTTCACATTCAGAAAGCACATAAAACAGTGCCAATATCAAAAGATAGAAGTTACAAACATGGAAGCATTGATGATCATCATTTCTTAGTATTGTTGTTTCCTTTGCCTCCTCCAGAACCAGCCGCTGCTGCTGCTTGAGCAGCTTTCTTTGCAGCCTTCTCCTGTAATGCTTTTGCATCCCTTTTATCATACAAACAAACACACACAACACAAAAGGAATCAACAACCCCCATCATAGAGACCAACGTTGTAAGCTAAGCAGATGAGATCCAAGAACAACTACGAAATGGGTTACCTTTCACGACGTTGCTCTGGAGTTAAGCCATCATCTTTGGTCTTTCCTTTGCCTCCGGTACGAGCTAAAGCCCTTTCACGGTCACGCTCTCTTTGACTTCCACGTGCAAAATTCACAATCAAAGAAAACAATTTCTGATTTCAAATCGATAAAGCACACAAATTTTTAGCAAACCCTTGCATCAAGATTCAGAGATCTGCCATAGAACTCGTGAAAGCTCCCCATCTTGGCACAACTTCAAAAACATACGATTCGAGACGGAGAAATCAATGACAATAACTAATCCAAAAACAAAACCCTAAAAAAATATAAAAATTTAGGTCGTTTCAACCTTGTAGAACACGCAACAAGCACAAAATCCAAGTTTCGGGAATTGAACAATCACGCTAGCGAAACACAGAACTTGTGAAAGAACAGATCAAATTGAAGGGTAAAGAAACAGATTCGGAGAAGAGAGGAATCAAAACGAAGGTAGAGAAGGATATGAGTCATGGGTGAGATCTGCGTAGCGTACAAGCGATCTTTGAGAGATCAGAGATCCCCGACGGTGCGGAACCAAGAGAAGCCAGAGAACGAAGAAGATTGATGGAATTAATTCGATTATTTATAACATTTTTTGTTTTTTACTTTTTTTATGAGTCCTAAATCGTAATTTCCATTGGTTATCGAAATTTCTAGGCCTAGAGTTCGGTTTTCCTTATCTGTCTAGTTCGGTTTAGTTTCGGTTTTGGTTTTCTGCCTAATTTGATTTTGAGCAAAGAGATTATTTTGGTTTCTTAACCCTTAATCCAAATTTTCGTAATTTATTACTATGGGTGGATTAGATGTTTAAGGTAATTACACACAACTTAGAAAAAAACATATAATTTATTTTTACCAAAAAAATGATTTACATCTTTACCATAAAAATACCATTTCATTAAATTAATTCAACCAAAGAAAAATATATTATACAATATGATTGGTCAAAAATATTAAATATTTTAACTTTTACATAGAAATTTGAAAACCATCAATTACAATAAAACTGATTATTGGACATTAATATTGTAAAAAAGTTGATTTTTTTTTTGTGAAAAATCTTGAATATATAATTCTTATCTTATTCAAGACGATTAAAAGAAAGAAACTCTATAATAGCTCGATCAAATGTTCTTTAAAAAAATACTCCCTCTGTTTCATTATAAGTGATGTTTAAGGTTTTGCCACACTAAATAATAAAACATATAACTTACTTATTTTCCATAAAAACATCATTAACTAATATGAATTCATCAACCAATAAAAAATATGATGTAAAATATAATTGGTCAAAAAATATTAAATACATTAAATTCTTACACAGAAAATTGAATACATCACTTATACTAAAACAAAAAAAAAATTGGCTAAAACATCATTTATAATGAAACAGAGGGAGTATTGTGTATGTCATTCTATATTTCTGAGAATCTCACTTTTTAAAACATATGGCATAGTAACTTTCAATTATCTTTCTATAATTTTATTTTGTCAATTTCTATAATTTTCTTAAACATATAATTTGAATAATCTTGGTCAAATACTTTTTTCTATAATAGCAATTTTGATTATCTCTGAAATAATATTAAAATTACTTAAAACGTTTACATAGACTTAATCAAAATTAAAAAACAACATAACTATATTAATCTAATTAAGGACATTTTGGTCCACCTTCTTGAGTCTTCCAATTGTTGTAGCAAGGACATTCTTCTTTGTGTCCATATGTTCCTGATGGTACACACAAACACTTTTTGCAACAATAATTGCAGTAGAACAAACATGGCTTCTTGTGAGATGTTGCTGAACACCGAACGTTACATGCCGCAGGACACTCTTCAAAATCCACACAAAATTTTTATAAGAAAAAGTTAATATTTTCATTCAACATTTAAATGCAACAAAACGTTTTTTATACAAAAGTATAGTTACCTGCGATAGTAAGCGAACCCTCTCCTCCATCCTGAAATTATGTAATTTTGTAATTATATAAATGATAAGTATACGTTTATATGTAGACATATATAATCTCTAATATATTGGTTTTTTGATGTTTTTTTAGTTTGATGAATACCTTGTGGATTGGCTGTGATGGATTTGCTAATTCCTTTGCCTGAAAGAAACAACAAAAAAGTATAAAAATAGATTAACGAAAATGTTCTTAAGACGATTCACAAATCAATAGAAGAAAAATATATATAAGCAATTTTACATTGGAAAATTGAGTAGCAAACAAAAAGCTGAGTACAATAAAGATGACAATGAACTTAGCCATTTTCTTTTTCTTTTTCTTTGTTTGTGTTTTTTTTTATGTGTCTGTGTGTATCAATGTTGAATCTATTTATAGCCAATAGTATTTAGTATCTAAGACTGTAAATAAGATATTACCAAAGTATTGGTCAATGAAATATTTGCATTGGGATCAAATAGCTGACCAAATTAATAATTACAGTATTGACTGATTAATTAGGTTTATCATTTATGATTTTCCATTTTTTTTTTACTTAACCAAATTAATAATTACACTATTACACTACTTATATGGATTAGGAATATACAAACAGCTCTACTATATAAAGAGAAGCTTACCTTTTTTGTATACTCAAAAAAAAGTTACAACGACAAAAATATCAAATCTTATGAGCGATGCATTCGACGAGAAACTCTCCGATTAAACTCCCTTCCAAATTTACGTATGAACAGTACGAGCGGTTTCGCGAGTTTGTGAGAAAAATAAAAGAGATTGATGAAGACAGGAACCACAGAGGAATCTACCTTCAATACGCTACTGCGTTGAGTCTTTATCATTCTGGAACTTTGAACCTGGCCGATCTCAGAACGAGGATCAAGACTATTTTCAAGAACTGCGACGTCTTGCTCGAAGCCTTTGATCAAGTCTTGAAAGATTTGGAGACGTGTTCTCGTCGAGAAGAGATTGTTGTTGTTGATCCAAAGAATCTTGATCGAATAAAAGACTTCTTAAAGACGTTGAGGAAGAAGAGGGAAGGGTTACGAGAAGGGTTTATAGAGGCTTTCGTGAGACACACGGAACATAAAGACGTGACGATTCTCAAGAAAGAAGTTGACGGAGTGTTACGAGGTTACCCTAATCTGAGAGAGGAGTTTAGGATGATCCTTGTCGACCACGGTTTAGTAGAAGACGAGAAACGATGTGAGATTACGCGTGAGAAAGAGGATGAGCTGTTCCAAGATGACATGTACTTTCATGCCATTGAATCAGCCATTAAGTTTGCGGCGGCTGAGGATAACAAGAAGCCGGAGGCGGGTGTATACGGAGCAATCAGACGGTTTTACAAACAGCGGCGAAGAACGTTGCCACGAGGATGCTTGAAGGATCCGAAACTTGCTGTACGAAACATTTTACCAGATTTGCAGTGTGAGTACAACAAGTTGCTCAAGAACAGGAGCAAGTATCTTGAGAAGGTTCGAAAGGTGAATGAATCATTGGTCGTTTTTGATCACTTGTCATAGATATGGTCTGCTAGGGCTAGTTTAGTTCAGGGTATTGTATCTATGTTGATGCATATATTTGGATTTTGTAACATGATTAATTAACAAAATAACCAAGAATGTAATTAGTAGATTTATCAAGATGTGTGTTTGCCACTGTATTGTTCACAAATCATAAGAACTTAAACTGAACTCAGATCATTGCAAGGGTGGAGAGAGAGCAAGTTAACTTGGTAAAACACACTGAAGTCTTCTTATGAAATGAAGTATGAATATACAAAGACTGTCACCAAACACATAAAACATAACATTGTGTAAGCTCTCCCAATGAACATGAGTAGCTAGATGAAGCAACACTCTTTAGAGAAACATGAGATTCTCAACTTGGCCAGGGAAGATAGAGAATATAGATTTACCCCAGCGTTCTGTGATTCCTTCAATGTAGACTTTTCTCAAACTGTTTCTCTTGGGATCATAATAGAGAACATAAAACGGTGGCTCACTCAAAGTGTCTGGTCCGAAAACAAACTCACCTGCGTCAGTGAGACAATAGGCTTGAAGATAATAATCAGTTATACAGAGTTCTAAAGCAAACACCTTCTTGCACCATTCTTGTTTCGCAGCATCCACTAGAACCCACAAATCAATCCAACAAGTACAAGAAAGTCCTGCTGGTTTAAAGGTCATGAGAGCAAGCTTTCCCTCGTATCTTGTCATCTTTGTAAACCTTGCAGCAGTCTCTGGTAATTCTAGAAGATCAAATTCCTCAGACCTAACATCGAAACTCATGACTTGATGACCTCTCTGAAAAGCTTCATAGTATAACACACCATCGATACATATATCAAGATGAGAACGAGGAGAGTAGTGAGGAGGATAATCTTGAATCACTCTCCACGAATTACCATTCCCCAATGTCAAAACCCTAAGCTCTTGACCTAAACCGTGACCTAGTCTCGTCATACACAGGACTTTGTAGTCGTCATTGATCGGATCATAACCCATGTAATGGTACATTATATCAAACCTACGAGAATCAATCTTTGGCAAAGTAATAGATCGTCTCGTGCTAGGGTTATACACCATGGAGACTTTACGAGGAAGAGTTCCATAGCAAATCAAACCGTGAACAGAGGGAGCAACAACTGTGTACGGATTCGAAAGACAGTTCATATGGTAAGTTGCTACAGAAGATGATGATTCACCTGAAACCCCTACAGAGAAGAAGTGACGTTTCTTGTGGTTACTCTTGTCAACACATGTGAAGATGAGACTTTGGGTTTGGGAACGAGCAGAAGACTTGATCAAGTACGATCTCATGAAGTCTTTGTTGCGAATGATGGATTCAGATTCCTTCGATACACAGAGGAACCTTGCTAGGGCTTTAACAGGCAAGCGTTTGAGTATATCTGGATAGAGATCAAACGGAATGCTCAGACCTAAGCTTCCACCTCTGTTTGTTCTCAGGTCATCGGAGGTCTCCTGCTTCTCTCTCTTTCCTTTCATGGTGATGATGTGAAAGAACGAGCAGCGTTGGTTTTGTCTCTGAGATTTGCAAAAACCTTTCTTGGAGAAGAAGAAAATCAAGAAAACGATGAGTTCGTTGCGTTTGCCTTGGAATTAGAAAAATATATATAACTGAAATGATCCATTACATATGTAAAACGTGGTTCCGTTTTTTTGAAGGATCTCAAGATTAAAACGTCAAAGAGTCCATTATCAAAATCTAAATGAAAATACAATAAAATGTGAGTAGAACTGATAAAAAAGATTAATGAGTTTTTTCCTTCATTTTGTAAACAATACATGTTCATTCTATTTTAAATAATGATTTTAGTGTTGATTTTAAAGACGAGAAACATTAAGCATGGGAGAAGACTATAATGCTTACTTTGGATATATTTTAGGTACAAAATAAGTATAAAAATATACGAAAAAGTATATACAAAAAAAAAACATGAGAGTATTTAAATAGTTATATACAATATGTTTACAAATTTTTTATGAATATTTTAGTGTGATTTGGTAGTGATAAGTGGGTTTATATTTTACTCCTGATACATTTTTATAGCTATGATATTATGTACATTACATTTTAGAGATCTTAAGAGTTTAGTGTTAATCAATCAAGATTTGTGTATTGTACTTCATTAAAATCTGGCATCATTCAAATTAAAAACATACTCATTTTTAAATCTTTGTATATGAAAACAACAAAATATCAATCCTGTTCAAATATTCAACTCTCCCTATTCAAACCATGGTCTCTATCATAATAATTGCAACTAGATATATATATTTTTAATTGTAAATGATTACACAAAAAAATCAGTATTGTTTAAAATTATTCAACTCTCCCTATTTAAAACATGGCCCCTATTGAAATTACTTCCACTAGCTAGATTTTTTAATGAGTGAATTATTACACAAAACTAACAAAATAATCCTTTTAAAATTATTCAAGTCTCCCTCTTTAAAACATGGCCTCTATTAGAATAAATTCCAGTAGATATTTTATTTTTCAATGAGTGAAATAATAATACACAAAATAACAAAATAATGAGTCCTGTTTAAAATTATTCAACTCTCCCTATCTAAAACATGGCCCATATTAAACTAAATTCCAATAGTTTTTTATTTTATTTTAATGAGTGAATTATTATTATACAAAAATAACAAAATAGGTGGCCCTGTTTAAAAACTATTCCAACTCTCTATTTTAAACATGTCCCCTATTGAAATACCTTACAATAGATACTTTTTAATGAGTGAATTATTATTACACAAATTAACAAAAAAATCAGTCCTACTTAAATTATTCAACTCTCACTATTGATAACATGGCCTCTATTAAAATAACTCCCAATGGATATTTTCTAATGAGTGAATTATTACACAAAATAAATAAAAAATAATGGGAATTTCAAAACTACCCCTTTTCAAATACGACTTTTTAAAAATACATTTTTTTAAAACTGTATAAAAAAAGCCACTAAAAATATTGAAATTTATCCAAATATGTGTAATCTTATAATATATACACACAAATTACCTCTATATGTGTATAAAATTTTATACATCTGTCATAAATATCGTATAAATAAAATATAAAAAACTTTTAAGAACCTTCTAAAAACCTTATAAACCCATTTTAAAAACCTTGTAAACCTTGTAAAGACGATTTAAAACCTTTTAAAATGTTATAAATTATTTAGATCAAATCTCCCAGTAGTATTTATTATCTAGAAGAATCAAACCATTATAAACTTATAATTTTTCATATTTAAACAGAGATATTTTTGAAAATGGATAGACAAAACTGTATATTTCAAAAGGAATAAACCAAAAAGGATAATTCTATCTCAAAAATAATCAATACTGTTTAAAATGATTCCAACTCTCCCTATTTAAAACATGGCCTCTATAAAAATAAATTCCAGTAGATAATTTTTTAAAAATAAGTGCATTATATTACACAAAAATTAATTTACATACATCTATACAAAAATAATAAAAAATCATAGTTAAATTATTCAACTCTCCCTGTTTAAAACATGGCCTCTACCTAGTGGGTGTGGGTGGGGAGGGGAAGGGGCCTTCAAATAGTAGTACCATCACGTGACACACGACACCACCCACGCGCACGGGTTCGTCGGCTCCAACTAAAATAAAACAGAAATGCAAACTCACTGCGATATGTCTGTCCAATCAGAAACAGCCATGTCATAACCCCTGACAGAAGTCAAAAAGACAGAAATATCCAAACTTGTTGCTTATATTTACAAAGAGTCAAATCCCAAATCTGAGAGTCAAAATTAAAAAAGGAATCTCACCGTTCGTTTTATTTTTATGTATCCTTCCTCTTCTTCTTCTTCTTCTTCTTCTTCCCTCTCAATTCTTCATTTTCCTTCTTCTTCTTCTTCTCGGATAATTAAAATAAAAAACAAAAAAATGTGTGGGATCTTCGCGTATCTGAATTTTCACGCGAACAAAGAGAGACGATACATTCTCGAGGTTCTCTTCAATGGTCTTCGTCGTCTTGAATACAGAGGTTACGATTCTGCTGGTATCGCCATTGATAATTCAGATGCTTCTTCTTCTTCTTCTCCTCTCGTGTTTCGTCAAGCTGGAAACATTGAATCACTTGTTAATTCTGTTAACGAAGGTTCGTTTTTTTAAAATCTGGATCTCTAGTTTTTGAATCCAAAGTCGAAACCTTTTTGGTGATTTTTGTGTGTTTGTTTCCTCAGAGGTTGCGAATACGGATTTGAACCTAGATGAAGTTTTCTACTTTCATGCTGGGATTGCACATACTAGGTGGGCTACTCATGGTGAGCCAGCTCCTAGGAATAGTCATCCTCAATCTTCTGGTCCTGGAGATGATTTTTTGGTTGTTCATAATGGTGTTATCACTAACTATGAGGTTCTTTTTCTAAAACTTCTCTTTGTCTTATGTGTATAAGAGTTTTGGAAAAGGAGAAAAAAGAACACATTTTGATTATGTTCTTGTTTTTGTTTAGGTTTTGAAAGAAACTTTAGTGAGGCATGGGTTTACTTTTGAATCGGATACAGATACTGAAGTCATTCCTAAGCTTGCTAAATTTGTTTTTGACAAAGCTAATGAAGAAGGTATTGCTGATGTTGTCCATTTTGTGTATGAGATTTTAAGTAGTGTTGTTTTGAGTTTAGGTAGGATGGTTATTTTTTTTTACATGGGGACATGTATTTTTCTTATGCTTTGTAGGTGGACAGACTGTAACATTCTGTGAAGTTGTCTTTGAAGTAATGAGGCATCTTGAGGGAGCTTATGCTCTTATATTTAAAAGCTGGCATTATCCGAATGAGTTAATTGCGTGCAGGCTTGGCAGTCCATTGCTTTTAGGTGTTAAAGTAAGTTTACTCTTTGTCACTAGTATCAAGAGGGCTGTTTCATTCTGTTTCGATCAAAATGTAGTTTAGTAGTTTTTGTTTTAGCGAGTCTGTATCAAGCTCTGTGACATTTGAACAACCTGCAGGGCAAAAGAGCTAATGTTATATGAATAGGGCAGAGTTGCTTCATCCTAACCTTGTTTTACGTATTTAAGATGCTAACTGGATCACAGTTTCAAATGTGCTGGCTTTCTTCCTTTTAAACTTACAGTATCAGAACCTTTCCGGTTTGTAAGCAACTACGGTATACCTTACTGTTTGCATGCTTTCGTAGGAGCTAGATCAAGAGAAGAGCAATAGTCATGTTTTCCAGGATGCCCACTTTCTTTCTAAGAATGACCATCCCAAAGAATTTTTCCTATCAAGTGACCCACATGCTCTTGTTGAGCACACAAAGAAAGTTTTGGTGATTGAAGATAGTGAAGTTGTTAACCTCAAGGTATAGCAATCATTCAGTTATATTCTAGTCAGTTTGTATATTCATTCATTCCCTGCCAGACTTAAGCATGAGTATTGAATTCTAGCATATGAGTAACGAATCTTTTTGACTGATCACTGGGAATATGTAACTGAAACATATTGTTAGAAATATCATGCAGATAACTATATGTTAGAAATATTGTTCCAATTTGGAGTACAAGTGGTTCACCTATTATGTAACCTATGCAGATCAATTAATTTGTGCTCACTACTTCCACTTTTATTTACAGGATGGAGGTGTGTCGATACTTAAGTTTGAAAACGAGAGAGGAAGGCGTAATGGTTTCTCGAGACCTGCTTCAGTGGAACGTGCCTTATCTGTTCTAGAGATGGAGGTGGAGCAAATAAACAAGGGGAAATATGATCATTACATGCAAAAAGAGATCCACGAGCAACCAGATTCTTTAACTACTACAATGAGAGGCCGGCTTATTCGTGGTGATTCACGCAAAATGAAAACAGTCCTCCTAGGTGGTTTGAAAGATCACTTAAAGACCATAAGACGCAGCCGGCGTATAGTTTTTATTGGATGTGGGACAAGTTACAACGCTGCTCTTGCATCAAGACCTATCCTTGAAGAGCTCTCTGGTAATTGCTACTATAGTCATGTGCTGTCTTGATTTCAAATTGGCTCTGCTAACTTAGGTCTTTCCATAGGTATACCAGTCAGCATGGAGATCGCTAGTGATCTATGGGACCGGCAAGGTCCAATATACAGAGAAGATACCGCAGTTTTTGTGAGTCAGTCTGGTGAAACTGCAGATACACTACTTGCTTTGGACTATGCTCGAGAAAACGGTGCGTTATGTGTCGGCATAACTAACACCGTTGGGAGCTCAATAGCTAGAAAAACACACTGTGGTGTCCACATAAACGCAGGAGCTGAGATTGGTGTGGCAAGTACAAAGGTAGTTCTCGTGAATCTCTGAACATATATACATATATTTTCCAAGATCTGGAGGTTAAAAAACTTGTGCTTTCCCCAAACATTATCAGGCATACACAAGTCAGATTGTGGTGATGGTAATGCTAGCTTTAGCAATTGGAAGTGACACAATCTCCAGCCAAAAGAAACGGGAAGATATAATTGATGGACTACTTGATTTGCCATGTAAGTCGAGCAAAACAAGGAAAAGTTGCTTCATCTTAAAGACTGTTTTGAAGCAATTGGACCAACTTTGTGTATATATCTTATTTAACTGCAGATAAAGTTAAGGAAGTACTAAAGCTAGACGATGAAATGAAAGATCTTGCGCAACTTTTGATAGACGAGCAGTCACTGCTTGTGTTTGGCAGAGGGTACAACTACGCAACCGCTTTAGAAGGAGCATTAAAAGTAAAAGAAGTATCACTTATGCACAGTGAAGGAATACTTGCAGGAGAAATGAAACATGGACCTTTAGCTTTAGTTGATGAGAATCTCCCAATCGTTGTGATCGCCACTCGCGATGCTTGTTTCAGCAAACAACAATCTGTGATTCAACAACTTCACGCACGCAAAGGGAGATTAATAGTAATGTGTTCTAAAGGTGATGCTGCCTCAGTAAGCTCGAGCGGATCTTGTCGAGTAATCGAAGTTCCTCAAGTTGAAGATTGCTTACAACCTGTTATTAACATAGTGCCATTGCAGGTATTGATCTCATCTCTACATCAATTCTATAATCTATGTGTCTCTTTTCCTTTATGGTGTCTTGTGTGTTTTGGTGCAGCTACTGGCTTATCATCTGACTGTTCTGAGAGGTCACAACGTTGATCAACCGAGGAATCTGGCGAAGAGTGTGACTACTCAATAGAGAGCTTAAAGGGAATGACTCTAGTTTGTATAGTTTTGCCACATGCCTTTGGAGTTTTTTTGTTTTGTTTGTTAAGTTGTTTAACCATGTCTTTACTCTTTGCCACGCTTTTATGGCTAAAATCCCAAGATCAATAAAGTTTTCAAATTTTTGTTTTCACTTTTCAGTTTATACTATAAAAACCGGCATTAACAAAAACAAGTACAAGTCTAATCAATTTTGGGAGGTGTTAATTGTCACCAAAGAAGAGTTTAGCATAAAATGTGAGAATACAGAAAAGTGCGAGGGTCTTTTCGGAGAATTTGTAGAAATTACGACGTATAAAAAAATTAAAAAGAGAGAAAAGACTAAAAACAATTTCAAAAGGTAATTGCAAAAACCCTAGTTCATGATGGGGCGGCGGCCGAAAACGAAAGCGATTCCAGATGATGACGACGACGACTCTTCACTGAACAAAGGCTTCGAGATCGATGAGGAGTTCGGTAAGAGGTTGTTGCACAACAAGAATCGCGAGGATCTCCAGCGACACGAGGAGCTGAGGAGGAGAGGTGCCATCAGGGATGATGAAAATCCCGAGAACGACTCTGAGCCAGAATCTGAGCAGGATGATGATCTTGGTAATCCAGAAAGTGATCTCAGATTTATTGATCTGTTGATTAAGGTAAAGAAGAAGGATCCTTCGATTAGGGACAAAAATGCAAAGTTCTATGAGTCTGATGATAGTAGTAGTGAAGAAGATGGGGTTGATAAGGAGGATAAGAAGAAGAAGAAGAAGAAGATGAAGAAGATGTATCTGAAAGATGTTCAGGCACAGCATTTGCTTGAGGAAGGTCCTGAGTATGTTGAGGAAGGTGAGGAGAGGAGCGTGAAGACTTACGCTGAGCGACAGGAAGAATTGAGGAAGGCTGTAGTCGATGCTTTGGAAACTGGAGGGAACGAGAGTGGTGAGGATGATGATCTATTGAGAGTTAAAGAGAAGGAAGGAGATGATGTGGAGGTTGTTAATGAGGAGCTGGCTAAGAAAATGGATGAGTATTTTGGTGAAGAAGCTGAAGTTTATGAGAACCAGTTTTTGAAAGATTACTTGGTGAAACAGCTGTGGAAGGAGAAAGAGGAGAAGATTGTAGAGGAAGAAGAGTTGAATGAGTTGTCTGACGATGAGGAAGCTGTTGAGAAGCAAGAGGATTATGAGAATCAATTTAGGCATGAAGAGAATGCTGGGGAGATAGTTATGGGTCAGTCTAGGATTGTGGAAGGGTCGGTGAGGAAGAAGGATAATGCGAGGAAAGCGCAGAGGAAGAATAAAGAGGAGAGAATGAAGATGGCTGAGATTGAGAGGAAAGAGGAGCTGAAGCGTCTTAAGAATGTTAAGAAGAAGGAGATGAAGGAGAAGATGAAGAAAGTGCTTTCTGTTGCTGGTTTTAAGGATGGAGAAGAGTGTCCGCTAGATGCGAAAGACTTTGATGATGAGTTTGATCCGGAGGAGTATGATAAGATGATGAAAGCTGCGTTCGATGACAATTATTATGGTGCGGAGGATTCAGATCTGAATAGTGATGAGGATGGTGATGGAGAGAAACCAGATTTTGACAAGGAAGATGACTTGCTTGGACTTCCGAAAGATTGGGATGTGATTCAGGGTGGGGATGGTTTTATAGCCGCTAGAGAAAAGGTTTTGAAGCAAAAGGAGAATATTTTAAGCGATGATGATGAAGGAGAGAAAGAAGAAGTAGACGAGGAGAAAGAGGAAGAAGAAGTAGATGAGGAGAAGGAGGCAGACGGTAAGAGGAAGAGAAAGCGAAAAACTTCTCTTGTACAAAGAGCAAAAGAAGCATTGATGGAGGAGTACTACAAGCTAGACTATGAGGATACAATTGGAGATCTGAAAACAAGGTTTAAGTATGCTAAAGTACAACCTAACAGATATGAACTGGGGACAGAAGAGATACTCACCTTAGATGACACAGAGCTGAACCAGTATGTACCATTGAAGAAGATGGCTCCCTATGTGGAAAAGGATTGGGAGGTGAACAAACATAAGGTTAGGGAGCAAAAACTTAAGATCAAGGAGTTGTGGGAGGGTAAACACGATGAGAAGAGAAGCAAGAAGAGGAAGAAGAGTGAGGTTGCTGAGACGAAACCAACACAGAAAGCAGATGAGGACGGCGAGGCTGAGACGAAGCTATCGAGAAAGGCGAAAAGAAGAAGGCGTAAAGAAGAGAAGAAACTTCCTCCTAACAGAATGATTGCTTATGGGAAAGGCGAAGAGAAGAAGGCACGATGAAGAAAAGAAGCTTCCTCCTAATAGAATGGTTGCTTATGGGAAAGGCACAGTGAAAAATGGAAACTGATGCAGTATCTCTTTTTGTTATAGAACATGGGTTTATATTTTGTTTACAATTTTGAGTGTTCGAATTTACTCTTTTTGTCTTGAGAGAATCTTAGCTTTTTATCATTTCCTAGTAGAGAGGTTCTGAATTTTATCAGTTTATGATGTTCAGTTTCATTGTTCTTCAGCGGTTTCGAATTTAATAATATCCTTCATTCTTCGTCAATTTTGATTCTTGTCTGAGACTCTGAATCTTATTTTTAATCCTTTGTCTGAAACTGTCAACTTTGATTTACTTCTCCAGTTTGGCAAACTTGTACCTTAACAAGTATTTTATAAGCAACACAGAGCTACTTTCATAGTTATAATGATTGAAATCGTACTACTGCAAACAAGATGTAACATAACAAAACAAACTTAATTGTTCACTACATCAAGCAGAAGAGTTTGCAGAAACCTAAGTCTTACAGAGAGCTTAAGAAAAACAGCAAGACGAGACCACAGTGTTTCAAAATGAAACCCTAACCCAACGATCCCACATACACCAACCAAACCACTATACCGAGCATTTCCCACATTACGATCTCATCTCCGCTGTGGACCGAAACAATTGCAGAACCTAGAAAACTCGGAAACATTATAGCCAACATAGCTCCATTGCATCCATAGCCAGCCTACGTAGTACCCTTCTTCTATACATACTGTCTCAGAAACAACTATGCCTTTCGTATAAGCAGAAAGACATTTAAAACTGTCAGGAAACATCTCTAACCCAGAGCCCTAACAGTTCTACCTTTCAAAAGATCATTCCTCTTGAAGTGGTTTGAGGTTGACCCCCAAACTCTCTGATGCATCAGCGCTTCCTCTAAGCCTCTTTTCCAAATTATCATCAGCCTCCCCCGTGGCATCAAACTTCCTTTTCGAACCCTCAGGTGAAGTTCCAACCATATCAGACTGCACCTGCGTACCATCAGCTTCCTCAACACCACCAAGATCTTTCTGCTGCTGCTCACCATCCACATTAGGCAAATCATGAACCACATCATCAGATGCATCCGCCGGTCCAAGCAGCAACTCCAACGTACCACCTTCACCGTTGTTCTCATTAGAGCCATCAGAGCTACAAGACTCATGAGGCGGTGGTGAAAGAGCACGACCATAAGGGTCAGGAACATCAACCCAAGGGACTGAACAAGACCTAGTGAGATGATTCAAAGCCCCACAATTACGACAAAACTTAAACTTAGCTTTACTTCTACCAATATCCTCATACCCAAAACTCACAATCTTAACCTCTCCCGTATCAAACCTAACCACTTTCTTAAAACACAAACGCGTTGTATACACAGCAACGTTCACACGAGCACGCACATAACGCAAATCAAACATCTCATCATCCAATTCAACCTCCGTTACCTCACCCATAGACGAAGCAATCTCACGAATCGTCCCATCGGAAATATACTGAACCGGAATCCCACGAATCTTCAACCACATCGGAACCGATTTCAGAAACCCAGGACCTGGCTCATCCTCCCACTTCTCCAACACGACGAGCCACCCGTTAAACGTATAAGGACCACTCCAAAGAACCATTTCCAAATCCCGATCTCTCTCGAACACGAATTGAAACTTCCCTCCGCCGATGAGGCGGCCGCGGCATTTAGACTCGTCGAGAAACCACTCGAGAGGGAGTTTATCGATCAACGAGTAGAGATCTTGTCTTTTAATTTCAGGGCCAACAACTCGACCAACCAAGCTTCGACGATTTTTTTCACGGACTTCAGCGTAAGCGGTTTCTGGAACGGTGATTTGTGGATCGGCTAAACCTAAAGAGAGATATCTCGGCCTTCTTCTCCGATTGATCAAAGCCATTGTCGCCGGTGAAAACAGAACGGAGTATCTCACCGATTGTTTTTAAAAGTGAAATTATGATTAGCCCTAGAAAATTATTTATTAATTATATTTAGTAACCACGGAGCCGTTACCACTACGCCCACTAATGGTAACTGTTTTATTATGTGGTTAGTTTTTGTAATTGGGCCTAAGCCCAACCGTAATATAAATATTGAAAAACCCAATAAGTTTGAGAACTTTTAAACCGGTTTGTGGGATATATCAAATTGAATTGGGAAACTATTTTGATTTTCCATATATTCACATAAACCAATTGATTTTCGAAATTTGTTTCCTTTATTGTGTTAATTTTGTAGATTTTATTATATGATTTTTTTTTTTCATATGTGGTTCTGCTATACTGTATGTTATTTTAAAACATTTCCTACATATTATCCAGCAAAATAAATTATATGTTTCCATTTTCATATTTTCTTAATATACTAAGAAATCTATCTATAATTATAGTGAGATTTCAGATATTAAGGAAAGCATTACATATACACAAAATTTTCATTGAATACTACACTTTGCATTGTATACAAGAAAAATCAAAACATGAGAACTCCAAAAATAATCATTCTTCTGCTTATACTTGTAGTTGTTTCTTTAACGATCATCTTCACGTCGATGGTACAACCGCAAACTATGTCACTAGGAGTAGAGTACGACGTGCGTGTGATCAACAACTTGAGAGACAACTCGTCTCTCCCTCTAGTGATTTGGTGCACTTCGCCACAAGGTGATCTCGGTGGTCGTGCGCTTCAAGAAGGAGACGACTTCGAATGGACTGCCAAGATCGATTTGTGGTCGTTGATGGCTGATTATACATGTACGATGAAGTGGGATTCGAGGAGGAAGAGGTTCGAGGCGTTTAAGGGTTCTAGAGACAGCAATAGATGTGGAACTACTAAGAAGTGTTCTTGGTCCGTTAGAGAAGATGGGTTTTATTTTAGTAGTGATGAGGTCTATTGGACCAAAGATTTTTCTTGGTTATAGACTTATAAACTATTTTAGGTTTTTGTTTATATGTGCTATAAGCAAACAAAGATTTTAGGCCAACTTAGATTTTGTAATGTATGATTTTTCGTTTTTTTTGTAACTTTTGATTTATTGTTTATTGCAAATTATAAGAATTGTTACAATGACGATTTTAATACAGACAATTCTCTCCGACATTTTTTTTCATGTGTTGAATCACGGCGAACGGTTCTAATTGTGTATTGTTGTAGATTTCGTGTATGGGAGTCGAACTCCGGACTTTAGAAACTTTAAACAACCTTTGACCAACCGCTAGATTAGAGGAGCTTTCACGCTATGTTTTTTCGTTTTTGTCAGTTTTTTATCTGCTTTTTATTGTTTTCCATTCAAGGACTTAACATAACAACATACAAATAAGTAATATGCACGCCAATTCTTCTATTCAAATACAAGATTATTTGATTTTAATAGCGTTCTATTCTCTATATTTTTCTTTTCTATAAAACCCAACATACATACGTACTTGTGGAACATATAAAAAATATTATAATCTAGCCAAAATAGACAAAATAATGTTAAAAAAAAAAGCAATAGGAAATATCTTACATTGGGGGATGAAATATGTTTCTCAAATAAAATTAGTAGGAGATCCCTATGGATATGCAAAAAAAAAAAATTCCACTAATATGTCTATATGAAACAAGAACAAAGTACATATATTTTTTGGATAAGCAAATGTCCTCAAATATCCTCAAATCTTTGTAATATCTATAATTTCTAAAAGAAAGAAACTTTAAACTAATTTCTTGGCATTTGTTTATGAACTATCTTATCAGTTAGAGAAAATATAAGCTTAAAATCAATTTAAGAGACAATCTAAATTAATCAACAAAATATGAATATAGTTTTGGTATAACTATAAAACATTAAAATATTTGATATTCGTAAATCGTATTGTATTTTCACTAGAAAAGGTTGAGATAGCACTTAGGCTACAAATTGGCCCATATTTTTGTTTTGGTTAAAAACCACTTGACAAAACGTTTGTCATATCGTATAAGACGAAGAGTGCACTGCCACTTCAGCCCAATAGTTTCTTATTTTGTTTATTAGTAAGATTTTCTCTCTTCTTCTTTTAGAACCAAAAACTTAATGTGACGACCAATGTGCCAATGGTGTTTTGATATAATCCTTAGTTAGTCAATAGAGTTGTGGTTTTGATGTTAATCTAGGATCCAAACTTCAAGATAGTCTAGGGTTTACTTTCTTAATCCAAAAAATTTCTATTGTAATTAGTACAATATAGACTTGACTAATAACTCTATTTACCAAAGCCAATAAGAGATATATCATTCTGATTGTTAACAATTACAAAACGATAAGAATTAGTGGTATAGTTCAAATACATATAATTTTCCTAACGTTATAAGAGTCGATAAAAAAAAAAAAAATCATTTTGATTGTTACCAAACGGTAAAAATTAGCGTTATTAGCGTTATAAAAGTGGTATAATTTTACATTATTTCAAAAAATAAATAAATTAGCGTTATTGAAAAACATCATTTTCTTCTATATTGTTATCTCTTATCTTTTTTTTTTTAGACTATCATTTTCCATCATTTTTTTTCTGGTAATTATATTTAGACTTTGTATCATCAGTAACATCTAATTTTATTACGCTATCGACATGATGATGTGGTAGTATACAACACAAAAAGTCAATTATTGATACACCTAACCCCCTAAATACACATTGCCATGGCTTATAAGCTATAACATTATTATTTTCCCATTAAAATCAGATATCCTAATTTTTTGGTCAACCTGAAAGTGATACAATCACTTTGCAATTCTAGTTAGATTTGTAAATAAATGCAAAATCTCACCATACTATAATATAGGTATACAGAATGAAATAAAAAAATATGGTAGATACATATAATTTTAATGAATAAATAATAATTTAGAAGTTGATTGATATGATTCATGGCGTACAATGGAGACAATGGAGTTGGTGGAATGTGGGAAGAAGAAGAGTAAAAGGCATGTGCATTGTGCAATGATATTAACTAAGTATCCCACAATCCCATGTGACTACTACTCCTTACACACTGACTCCTCAATTATTCATTACTACTACTCCTAATTACAATTTAATTAATCATATTACTATAAGAAATTAGGAAAAAATGTTACATCTAATCTACTTATTTGGTCTAGCCTCACTCCTCCATCAGTGTTTTTGTCTTCAGAGATCATCATATATTCATGTTTAATTAAAAAAAAAAAAATTGTATCAAGATTGTTAAATTTTTGTGGCAGTAGTAATAGCAACATCTAAAAAGTAAAAACAAACAAGTGCTAATAGCTCAACTGGTAAAAAAATCTGACAAAAGCTTAGAAATCGCCGGTTGGAGTAGCGTTTGGGACGAGACCATATAACATGCTTTAGTCTCGGACGTGAGAAAATGTATGAATTTCGGCCCAGAACCTCTTTGATTATTCAAAAGAAAAAAAGAAGTAAAAACATTTAACCAAAACCATGTTCACATATCATAATTGTGTATTTTTTTTGGTTATGTTTTTTGTAATGAGTCACTGCGCATAATTGTGTTTAGTGGATAAAAATTAAAATGTTGATCATATGGAACAATAAAGATAAAAATTAAAAACAAAAGTTGCTCAAGCTTTGATTAGATTTGGTTGTTAGTTGATAAGTTGTTGACACTTTTTAATTGATTTTTTTTTTTGTTATATATATATACATGTTCTCTCAACCATAAAAATAAAATACAAATGCTTTGCTTAATCTTATAGCATCCCTTACTTTATAATAAAAAAACAACATATCAAATTTAATAGTTACTATTCATACTACTTTTTTTATTTTTTTCAAATAATATGTCACTTTTTTTTAGATAATAATGTCAGTAAAATTAGAAAAGCAAAAGAAGAAGGGATCACTCAATCAAGACATGCAAGAAAACCCCAAAATTGACTCACATCTCCATTATCTCTCTCTATCACTTAGTTGGCCTGACTAAATTGACATTATTCTTCCAAAAGGGTCTTTTTCAAATTTTTATGACAATAATATGAATTATCAAAACAATCGAAAATTAAAAATTAAAATTGATAACGTTAAAATTCTTCCATTCCTAAATAAGTAATTACCCCTAATTTCACAAATAATAATAATAATAAAAAAACCTAAATTCCAAACTGCAAAACCCTAAAACAGACTTAAGAAAAACAAATAAAGAGAAAATTAAAAACAAAAAAAAAAAAGTTCCTCAAATAATAAGAAAAAAAATTAATCCTAACAATTTTTTTTTTATCCACAATCTTTCCGATCACCGTCACCGGACTGATACTGTTTCCTCATCTCTACAATCTTCCGGTGAGAATTCGAATGTAACTCCGCCGTAAAAGTTGGACTATTCGCCGGACGATACTCCGGAACAAGCCTACCTGACTTATACCTCACGCCACAAGCGTTACAAAGAGTCTTAGGTCCTGACGGTCCCGCCCTCCATTGCGGCGTCTTCTCCGCTCCACAGTGTTGACACTTCCTTCCCATAATCACCGCCGCCGTAGTTTTCTTCTTCTGTATTCCTCCTCCTCCTCCTCCCTGCTCGTTACCTGTCCACAAAACTCGCAAATCACGGCGTCCTGTGCGGCGACGTTTGCTTCTCGCTTTAGCCGGCGCTTTAAAACTAACGCAGCAGCTCATTAACGTTGCTGCGGTGGTGGTGGTTACAGCCGTGCTTCCGCCGCTGCTGTTTGAGGTGGTTGTTGTAGTTGACGTCGTCGTTGAGCTATTATGGCTACTCGTCTCAAGTACTGAAACCGGACTCAGCTGTTTTATCTCCGTCGCTACTCTCTCCGGCGACGTTACACGGAAATGTTCCGGCGGTAATACGCCGACGAATGTTTCTATCACCGGAAAAGCATCTTTGTTTGATATCCATTCCAAATCCTCTTCCTCAACCACACCCTACGAGAATATTCAAAACTGAGTTAGACTGAGCGAACTCGACGAAACAAAAGGGGTAATTACGTCATTTTACATCTAAGAATATAAGTAATGTTCAAAGGTCTTTATTGCGGTAGCTCACGAAACAATGACACTGAAACTCCCGAAAATACCCTCCAACAAACTCCCGAACCAAGTTTTTTTCTTTCGAAAAAGGTTTAAAAATCAAAGGGTAGTTTCGTCTTTTAAACACAAATACGAACCGGCAAAAGAAAAACGTCCCCACATGACGCGCACGTTTAATAACGCAATAAAGAGAAAAACGCGTTTTCCGATTCCCGAACTTATGACCCGGCTGAGTCAACAACACCCCCACCCACCCACCCAAACCGCCGTGAACCGACGGAGTTAACTCGACCGAGTCTAGTACGTACCGGACCATTTACCAAAAACATGAACACAGGCGAGGTTTTTTATTTTTTTTTGGGGTGGTAAGACGTACAGAGTCGTCGCTGTTAAAGAGCCCGAAAGAAGAATCCGTTTGCCGTAATCCAGTTTTCCGGCGAGTAAGATTCCTCGGCGGTTGCATATCATCTTCTTCTTCTTCTTCTTCTTCCGGTACAGAGAAGTTCAAAAGGTCGTCCATGAACGATTCCATTTCCATAGTTTCTGATTAAAAGCAAAAAAGAAAAACACAAAAATCGCTTCGGAGTTTTATTTTTGAAGAGAGAGAAAAAAAAATGTCGATAAAATGAACCAGAGACGTTTATAATCTCTCACAATTAGGGTTTTCTTTATTTTTTATTTGACACAGAAAAAAAAATATTAATGAATAAAAATTTAATTTTGGTTGGAAGTGGGGAAGAGGATGATGACACGAAAAATGGTTTGTTCTCTTTCTCTTTTTAAATTCACTTTCTTTTTCCTATAACGTATATTAAAAGCATAATCAGGTACGACGCGGTCTACTGTAATTTAATACAAGTCAAAAAGATCAACGGTGTGGATTGTTTTGTCATTTACTTCAATAGATCTTTTATAATATGGAATGAGAAGATCGACCGTACTTATGATACACGCTTTTTTAATCTTATACACTACTTTAATTAGTTTACCTTTTAGTGTGTAGTGGCATTGATGTGATTATGGATAAAGTTGGAGGGTGATAATATAATTGAGTTACTAAAGAGTGGTGATGCATGTGAACCAATAGGATTACGAAGACGTAAGTGTTGGACGAATGGAGAGGAGACACGTGTTGAATACTTTATTGACTTTTATGAAATGTTGCCACCGCAAGTTGCGGGGTAGATTGGGGATGATGTTTTGTTTTTGAAAGCAAAAGTGATTTTAATTACTTTGTTTTTTTTTTGTTTTTTTGAAAAAGAAACTTATAATTAAATAAAAGTGGTGAATAATTTGTGAGTTGTGTGACAAGTGAATCGTAGCTATTACGCCATTATGAGATAACTTTGTTTTTTTTAATGCGATTTTTTACCTTAAAATATTGTCAAGTTCAAAGATTCTGGATACTCAAATATAAAAATATTCCATATTCGATATCTGTAATATTTTTTTTTTGTAATTATAGTTACTAAATAAATGTGATTTGAATAAACCCTCCCACGATATTCTAATTTCTAAGTCAAACAATTTTTTTTTTCTAAAATAAAGCTGAGTCGTTTAATTAGTTTTTATTTTTATTGGAAATAAGAATCAACGCAAGTCTTGACTCTTGCTAAACGGGATATTTATTGGTGTTAAATTCTGGTCAAAACTATGGCGCGTTATTTATACAATATTCGAGATTTGTAATTAACATTTCGTAAATATAATAGGTTTAATTAGTAACTAATTAACTATGCTTAAAATACGTGGTTAAATATTTTAACCTGTCTATAGAAAATATTGTTAAAAAGCAAGCAATTAAAGATAGTGGATGGAAAATACGATATGGATAAAAAAATGGTTAAGTCATTAAGTGTTTAGTTTGATGGTAACATTATAAGAAAAAAAATGAAATTAGTTTAGCTGAAAAAATTAAAATATGGAGTAATATATCTTTATCTAAATCAGAATATGAAATATTAGTATAGTTAAATGAGAATTTTATAATGTTAAAAATTTACTTATGTCATTACGATAATAGAATATAAAATTTGCTGATAAATTATAAAAAAATAAAATTAAAAGTATACATTAAAATTTATAATACACTTGTAAAAATTTGTAATTAATTTAGTTGAAAATGAAAAATGGAGCAATATATATTATCAAATTCATAATATGAAATATCAATATAGCTAAATGAGAATTTTTGTATAAACTAAAGAATTATAAATGAGCTAAAAGGACCAAAAGAATTTTTTTGTTAAACCATTGTTTCAAAACTTCTTTTCTAAACCAGTGATTGTAAACATCTTTTACAAAAACTAAAAAATCAGTTTTAGCAACTCAAACAAAACACACTTTGTCCAACCATTCACATGCAACGGTTTTCTTTAGTGATTGGAGTGACTTGTTTCCAAACATAGAGTTTGGTTGCTTCCAGTCAAACCCAATAATGTATAGTGCAATTCTTCTTTGACATCGTCCATGCTCTTTTGTTCAAGAACCCGACAACGATCAATGCTTTGTTGAATAAGCTGTGATAAAATTGATAGTTATAAAATACTTTTCGAAATCCATTTTTTGCAGAAACCAGAACACTAAAAAACCAAGTATGCTTAGTTTGGTTTTTCTCCATCTGTTTGCATCTATCTTTTAGGTGTTTCAGCTCACATATATATATATATATATATCTCCAAGAGTATATAGATTTATGTTTACGTGTTGATTCACTTGTGAAGGTACTGTTTAGCTTGTTATATTAAGATGTAGACATACCACAAAGTTTGGTTCATCCTTCTTTAAAATATTATAGCAAAACCCATCAATCAAAGGATGGTTAAAAAGATAGTGTATATATACTATATCTCAAAGACTAAAACTGTGACTCCTCAAAGAAGGTTACCATAAAAGACTAAAAACGGAGCGTTTTTCGTCATGCACCGCAATAACACACATATTTACCATTCAACCTCATTTTCTTCTTGCTAACGTTTTTGAAAAAAAAAGTTATTTGAGATTTGCAGAATTAACCCACATATATAGACATAAAACGCTTTTAAAAGCATAAATAGTATTTACCTAGCGGTCCAAAAGCATTGCAAACCGCACTTATTCCGAAAATTTATTTTCTCTAAATACTGCAGTTAAACCGTACTGCATATTAAAACCGTTTTTCCCGCATGCTGTCACCATTTAGATCCTTAGTCAATATTTTATGATGACACTCGAAGTCTTTTACTTGACCCAAATGGTTGATTTAAGTAGTATTCTTCTTTTCTTGTTTGATCAAAAAAAAAGAAAGTAGTATTCTTCTTTTATACTTATCTTGTGCTTGTGATCTCACATACCTTATTTTTGGTATTTCAGATATTTTATGGATTTAGTTAGCAATGTAGTACAAGAAAATATTGGTATGTCTTTTTCTCTTTAAAAAAAAATATTTTTATGTTATGTTCCCATTACTTATCTTATCTTCTTTCATTTTTTTTACACAAAAACCTATTTTGATATATTTAACAAGAGAAAATAATCTAATACCATTCAATGGTTGCTCAATATGGTGTTCATGAATTCACATTATTACTAGTGAGTCCTCCCTAGATATATTACTTTTGTATTAGTTTAGAGTAGCATGAAAGTTTAGTCCAAGCACTGCTTGTCCTTTCAAAATCAGAATTGGAATTGAAAATGTGATTTTTACCAAAGTTTTATTGGAAGTATCAATTCTGTTTTGCAATTCTAAATTGGAAGCATTTTAAATTAATATTTTGAAAAACATAAAAATCTTTTAATATCTATACTTCATTAGAAAACCATAACTAAATATAAAATAAAAGAATATGAATCATTGTGTATTTGTGTTTATTTGTTTTTCTTCTCTACCAAAATATTTTTTTTTCTTTTCATTTTGTCATGAACTATTACATTATTATAGATATTATTTCGATGAAAATGATGTTTTAAATTATTGAGTTTTTATTTATTGAATAAACACAATAAAATATATTTAATATTACATATAGGATTTACAATATTTAAAGAATATGTTTTTTTTCTTAGCTGCTCATATTTTTAGTTATATATGTTGAGATATATTTATAAAATTTTTGAAATTTGACTATTTCAGACATTTGAAATTTATATTGTTTCTGTTGAGTTCAATGTTATAATGTGCAACCTCTTCTCAAATTTTAAATGTTTTTTTTACCAAGAAGGGCTAAGTAGTCGAACTTGGACGGTAAATAAATAAAACCATTTACAAAAGTTTGTTGGTGCAAAATGTGTAACAAATTATTTTATTCCATGTACAATATATGATGTAATAGAATCAAATTATATCTTTAAGTTAGTATACTCTTGTATCAAAGCAATTGATTTTCTAGAGTTTTCCCACAAATTACAAAAAATATATTAATATTTATATATAGATGTATTATTATTCATACTAACATATTTTCATCGTTATTCACCAAATTGAAAATTCTAAATGAATGATTTTTAAATTTACAATTTCTTACTATTAATTGACAAAAATTAACAAAGAAATCATACTTTTGATAAAGACATAACATTTCCGAAAATAGATATTTTTGTGATTCAGATAAAGTAAATAATTTGTAATCACGGATTTCTCTACGACAATAACATCGTCGTTACCACTAATCAATAAGCTACATAATTAATTAATCATACTATATATTGAAAAAGAAAAAAGAAAAAAAAGATTCTATCTTCAGACTTCGATGCGTAGTACTGTGACCATTACATACTAGAGTTACCTTTCTTCTCCACAGATGTTGTGTTTCACGCGCCGCCTTGAGAAAATGCAGAACGGGCCGGAGCAACCGAGAGTCACTCTCTACATAATCCTCACCACCGCGTTTCTCACTCTTTGTTACCTCCTCTCTCTCTTTTCCTCTTCCCACTCTTCATCTTCCTACACCGGACGACCCGAAGATCTACGACCCGACCCGAGACTCTTTCCTTCCTCATCCAAAATCGCCGCCGACACAGCTCCTCCTTCGATCGCTTACCTAATCTCTGGATCTTCCGGTGACTCGCGGCGAATCCTTCGTCTTCTCTACGCTACTTACCATCCTCGAAATCGATATCTTCTCCATCTCGATAGCTTAGCGGTTCAATCCGAACGAGATCGTCTCGCTGTAGCTGTTCAAGATGTAGCGATCTTTCGAGCTGCAAGGAACGTTGATGTTATTGGGAAGCCTGATTTCGTGTATCAGAGAGGATCGTCTCCTATGGCTTCTACGCTTCATGGTGCTTCGATTCTTCTTAGATTATCTGGAGCTTGGGATTGGTTTGTTAATCTTAATGTTGATGATTACCCTCTCGTTACTCAAGATGGTTTGGATTCTTCTTGCCAAATTCTCTTCTTCTTCTTAGACATGAAGTGTTTGTGTTACTGATTCAGAGTTTGATTTTGTGTAGAGCTTCTTCACATTTTGTCACATTTGCCTAAGGACTTGAACTTTGTGAACCACACTAGCTACATTGGCTGGAAAGAGTAAGATTGTGTTTCTCTTTAGTTTCCACTTAGAGAGCCTAAGGTTCAATGTAGTTTGGGATTTTTGAGCAATTTCTCTTGGTTATCCTGTAGGTCACGGAGGTTGAAGCCAGTTATTGTTGATCCAGGGCTCTATCTTGTGGAGAAAACCGATATGTTCTTCGCTTCGCAGAAACGAGAGTTGCCTAAGGCTTTCAAGTTATTCTCAGGTATCTTCATATTTCCCAAGCTGCATTACATGTTTTGTATTCTTTAAGGTTTGTATCCTGCACTTTTCTATGAACCAATCATCTTGTCTGTTCTTAGCATATTGTGTGTGTTTGTTATGCACAATCAATTGGACTGATTAACTTTGGTTTGTTCGATATTTTTGGATGTGATCTGTGGAACTTATGGATGCGAATCAAATTTTGGATGACATGTACAACGTTGTTGCTTGAATTAGGGAACTAGTGAAAAGAACTAATATAGATGACATATGTATGTATGTCTTTGATGATTAGACTAAATGCAATAATCTCTTTTTGGCAGGTCCATCTTTTTCCATCTTAAGCCGTAATTTTATAGAGCATTGTGTCTTGGGCATTGACAACTTCCCTCGGACTCTACTCATGTACTTGTCCAACACACCTGATTCCCTCTCCAACTACTTCCCAACCATCCTCTGCAACTCAAATCCCTTCAAAAAGACCATCATCAACAACAACTTACTTTACGTAGCTTCTAACGAGACTACTAAAGAAAGATACCACCGGCTTGATCCTAAAGAGTTCACAGAAATGGTTGAAACCGGAGCAGCATTTGCAAGAGGATTCAGGTTCGATGACCCTGTCCTTGATCGTATCGATCATGAACTTCTGGGACGAAGACATGGTGAAGTTGTTCCTGGTGGTTGGTGTTTGGGAGATTCTGGTAAAAACAGCAGCTCTTGTTCTGTCTGGGGTGACTCGGGTATTCTAAGGCCTGGTTCTGGTTCCGATAGGCTTGAAAGAAGAATTGTTAAGTTACTGTCGAATGATTGGTTCAGATCGCACCAATGCATATCCGAGTAATCCTCAACGCAGTTTCGATAGAGTATATAGTTGTCGTCGAGAAGAAGAAGATAAAGGTAGTTTACACTTCTGTACCTGTAGAGAGTTCACTCTTCCAAATTGTAATCTGTGAGTTTGAGATTGTTGATTCATTGTTGTAACATCTCAAACCTTTTTTGTTCTACATTCATTTGTATTGTTAGAAAATGTAACGAACGACTTGGTTCATTGATTTATTTGGTTAAGTATTAACCGGTGTAAAATCCCGTTTTTTAATCTAATCTAAGTCAAACCGTGTTTACTATAAATTTTGATTTTTGAATAGTGATGGAGGACTGGTTAAGCAGAATGGAATCAAAATCAGAGCAAAACGAGTGGAGCTCCGGCGTGTGGGATCACTTAACCGCCGTCCGGCGACAATCGCCGCTGGTTCAATGCATCACCAACTTCGTCTCCATGGATCTCGTAGCCAACACGCTTTTATCCGCCGGCGCATCTCCGGCGATGGTTCATTCAGTCGTTGAGATTCCTGATTTCACCCCTCATATCCACGCGCTCTGCGTCAACGTTGGAACACTTACACCTGAATGGCTTCCCTCCATGAAAGCTGCCGCCGAAGTCGCTTCTCAGCTCGGAAAGCCTTGGGTTCTTGATCCCGCCGCCGTGAATTGCTCCGGGTTCCGATTAAAGGCGTGTTTAGAGCTTATCGGGTTAAAACCTTCTGTGATCAAAGGAAACGGTTCTGAGATTATTGCCCTCTCCTCTGCTTCACGGGGACAAACTAAGGTTAGTGTCGGTGGCTGAAGAAATCGAAATTGATTGTAGTAGTGAACTCTGTATTATGTTCAATTCAATTCGAAGTTTGTTCATCAGAATGTTTCAAAATGAAGAGTATGTTTTAGTGAAGGTTTTGTTAATGTATGAGTTGTTTTTTTCTTTTTCTTAGGGTGCTGATAGCTCTCATGAATCTACAGACGCTATAGAAGCAGCAAAGTCATTAGCTCTGTCAAGCGGTGCTGTTGTTGCAGTGTCAGGAGCTGTTGATATCGTTACAGATGGGAACCAGGTTATTGGTGTTCACAATGGGACAAAGATGATGCAAAGGATTACTGCAACTGGATGTTCTCTAGCTGGTCTGATTGCAGCATTTCTTGCTATCGATTCGTCACGGGGGCTGGAAGCTACAGTTTCCGCTATGTCTGTCTTTGGCATCGCAGGTGAGTTGGGTGAAGCAATGGCCAATGGTCCAGCTTCTTTGAGAATGCATTTGATAGACTCTTTGTATGGCTTGGATGAAACCACAGTTCGTAGCCGTGTGAATATCACAAGGTTGGGTTGATGTACAAGAATCTTCTTCTTGGAATAAAGTTTCTGAAGATATCTCTGCAACTTTCTTGATCCTTTGCATATCTTTATGCTTTCTCTTTGAAAACATCATGGAGGAGTCTCATGGTTATATAGACTATTATTAGGGGTTAGAGTGTCAGAACCTTGAGTAGATTGTTTAGGCAGTATAGTTTCTGCAGTTTCAGAATTCTTGTAGATACAATTCTAGGCTTTAGAGCAATGCTCGGAATACACTTTAACATCTTAGATATTTCAAGGGTTTCTGTGATTTAGTTTTAATCAATAACTGTTACATACAACAAACAAAGAACATTCACACAACACACATGCACAAATTTATAATATTTTGGTAAGGCTCCTTTTGTGTTTTCTTAGTACTTCAGATGGACAATGATCCTCAGTAAAGACTCTGCTCCATCCACTTCATGCTGACCTGATGGAATCAATGGCCTGACCTCTGCAAACCCACAAGCGTTCTTGAATCTACCTGTTCCTCCAGTCACTGACAGATGCGACATGGCACTTCCAATTCTATAAATTCCATAGAAGTTGAGGTTGTCGTTGTACTCTCCACCTTCGAGCATAGCTGTGAAAGCCATCATCTGAGTGCTTCCGTCTGCAGAACTTGCAACATAAACTCCTTGAGCCTTACCAAGCGGCTGCGAACCCAAGTCAGGACCAGATGTGAGTATGTCATCGATGACAGTGATGGTGCCAAACCCAAGACTCAGACCATCAGGACCCAACTGAGTCTGAATCCCATTCAGGTTCTGACCAGAGTATGCTGTGCCAGACAAGCCGGTTCCAAGTGGTACACCGTTGATGCCGTTAACCGTTGGGAGTGCGCCGTTGGCATTGGGTATGGCTATACCGTTTTCGGGAGGAGTGAAACCAATCTGCTTCGCAAACGGAACCTGACCATTGTAAATATTCCCTAGCAAACCCGTGATGGGTCTTGCGGTGGGGCTGCTTCCTCCAAGTAAATCGTGCATGTAGAGTTCGAAAATGGGGTCTTCAGGTGCAGGATCAAGAGCTGCTGCAATCACAGCAACTGTGAACAAGATTGCTGTCAAAAGCAAGAATGGTGATTGCTTGATCATCATTAAGAATGGTGACTTGTCAAAGTGTTTCTCTGTTCTTTGTATTAGAAAAGAGATTTTGAGCTGATGATTGTTTGATGTGTGCAATGGTGTTTAAATAGAGAGGTGGTGGTGAGATTGTGAAGTTGTTGCGATTTCTGATTTTGTGTAGTAGTTGAAATGAGTTCTTTCTTTAATCTTTATAGCTGTGTTATCTCAAAGTGTAATCTGTTTTTCTTGAAAATCCAAAATTTGATAACGTCAGAGAATGATAGAAAACTCATATTAACGTCTTTAATTTAGTGGTTACCAAAACAATTTCAATAAAATTATACCAGTTGTAGCTAAAATTTTGGTGGTTTAGGTTGAACAATTCTTAATTAATCATGGTTCTGTATAAGAAAATGAGAAAAAATAATTAGCATTACAAGAAAATCTTAATATTCATTTTATAAAAATTATGTAATCTAAAAATTAATAATCGTTTAATTTGTGCGCCAAATTAATCAGAGAAAAAAGCTTAAAAAATAAAAGAAGAAGGAATTTTAAAAGAGCTGCGAATATATTTCTTTCCATTTAGCGAAACCCTAAATCCCCAAATGTCATTCGCGGAGGAATTTGAAGCAAGTAAGCAAATCTTATCATCCTCGAATCGTGTTTACTGTTTCCGGTGATCAACGATTCGTGAAAATTTCTAAGTTAGCTAATTCGATTTCCCAAAGTTGTTTTTAGATTTGATTAAGCTTTTGTTGCAGTATTGGGAATTTTCTCGTTGACGAGAGAGATAGAGTGATTCATTGAGATGATGGTTATGTGCGTTGTTGTTACCTTACCTGTGGAACTTAGATTGATTAGAGTTTTTTCTCGATTGTATAAGCAAAAATGCTTGAAATGTAACTATAGGAAGCGTTGATGTGAAATTGTATTGGAAACTATTGTTGTTATCTAGCATTGTGTTTTGTTATTTGCATCTCTGTTATGGTTTCCTCTGAAGCAACTCGTTATTGATATCTCTGTTGCAGATCTTGTGTCGCTGGCCCATGTTTTGCAGAAGAAATATGCACTCTTGCGTGATTTGGATAAAAGTTTGCAAGGTAACAATCATATCATTCTAGTCGTGTATCTACTGCGGATTAAAGCGTCATTGTTATGTAGATGGATGAGTTATGTTAGAGATGAGTTGTTTGCTGTGTGTTTTAGTATACAGTAAGAATTTGTGAAGCATCTTTGTATGCTCTCTGTTTATATGTTATGTGGATTGCTTTCATCTTTGTTTGTGTCTTTTGTGTGTTTTAAGCAGAAAACCAAAGACAAAATGAACAACGCTGTGAGAAAGAAATAGAGGATATAAGAAGAGGCAGAACCGGAAATATCACACCCAATACCTCTCTTACACAGTTCTCAGAGGAAGCACTTGATGAACAGAAACACAGTGTTCGAATCGCTGACGAGAAAGTCGCACTGGCTATGCAGGCATATGATCTGGTATGCTTCTGAAATTTCTTTACTAGTTTTTTGAAGAGGGAGACTTCTCTGTTAATGTGTCTGGCCTCGGATTTGTTTACCTTCTTGTAGATTATTCGATATTCCTTAAAGTCATTACTTTTCAGATGATATATTGCTTCAGGTGGATATGCATGTTCAGCAACTTGACCAGTATATGAAAAAATCCGATGAGGAGATCCGTAAAGGTCAGTTTTTGGTTTGCCGATATTATTTGTTCTGAATTTTTCTAAGCTTAAGCTTCTCTTTAATGTTACTCAGTAATAAAAGGGTGTGGTTTCTATCAGAGAAAGAAGCTGCTGCTGCTGCATTAGACCTTGAGAACAGTGGGAAAGCTGGGAAGGCTGGTGAAGGTGGACGAGGTGGGCGAAAGAAGTAGGTGGCTTTATATCATAACATACGTTGCTCAATTCATTACTTTGCATAAACCTTAGCAACATGAGCTTAGGTCCAATCTCCAATGAAACCACTGTCGTTGTGAAATATGAGATTAGCTCTAATGAAACAATTCATTCAATGTTGTGTCAGGACAAGGTTAGCAACAGCTGCGTCAACAGCAGCAGCATCAACAGCAGTGACTTCAACTAATATGGATTTGGATCTACCTGTGGATCCAAACGAGCCAACTTACTGCGTCTGCAACCAAGTTAGCTATGGCGAGATGATTGCTTGTGATAACAATGAGGTATGGCTTCTTAATTCTATTGTGTTTTTTTCACATTGTGAGATACTCTTCGAGACTGAAAATAAACTCAATGCAGTGCAAGATTGAGTGGTTCCATTTCGGTTGCGTCAATCTGAAAGAACAACCCAAAGGGAAATGGTACTGCCCGGATTGTGCTACAGTCAAGAAGAGCAGGAAAGGTCGATGATTTTAATCTTCATGTCTGATAATCCAAACAGCTTCATATCTACTGTAATCCAAACAGTTTATATATCAACCCATGTAAGATGTTGCCATGTTAACTTTGGATTGTAGAAGTCTTTTACTGTTCTTAATCACTTTTGTTTGACAAAATTAATAACTGAGCTTGGGGTAATGAAGAAGCCATTCAATGAAAAGCAAACACAACGATACCTTAGAAAGTTATGATGCTTATGGTTTCATATAAAAATTTCAAAGTGTGCTATTTATTGTGAAACCAGTTATTTGGGCAACAAAATCAAAGACAAAATACTCCTAAAAGAATCGTATCTCTTTTCTTAAGTCGAGAATTTAGTGATCTTTAAAGTCCATGCAGCATCTACCAGATCCGTCCTGATGCTGATCACTTTCACAGGTGTCCTTTGATACCAGCTTTCACCGTATCCACATATTCACCTACTATTCATCAAGAGTTGGTTAAAGACAATCTCCAAACAGATCAAAAGTGAAGTGATGATATTGGTTTGTGACCTCAACTAACCTTTTAGCTGAATATTAACCAAGGTCCGGATTATCTTGCTATAAGAGCTTGCTAACAAAAACAGCACTTTCACGTATAAAATTTGAAGAACTGTGTGAATAAGAACCTGCCAAATTAAAACCCATTAAACAACTTGTTTAGGATCATTAGATCAGATGCTTCATTTTAGATAATTGCTAACCTTCAATGTGTTCTGCATGATCTGCATCTTTTGGTCAAAGTTAGCTGTTGTAAGCTTTTCCAAAATCATTTGCTGCATATCATCCGTTCCTCTACTTTCTTTAGCACTTCCAGCAACCAAATCAAGGTGGTAGAAACCTATAACCACCAGATATAGAATGGGTGATGCAGTGACATCCAATGATTCCAAACGACTGGCCTTTTCTCCACACACAGCAGTAGAAGCCACTGACTCTTTCAGAGGTCACTACCAATAATCCTTGCAAGAACAAGTACCGTCCTTAAAATGATGGAACCGATTTGTATCTCTCACAATGATTTCCCTCCCAACAGCCTTTGACGCCAATTTGATTGCTGAATGGCAATCCCCGCAAACACGTATGTTCTTCTTGATGTGTATGGTTGATCCAGGAGGAGTGTTGAGAAGCGCAAATGCCAATGCAATTTTCTCGCTATGATATTGTAAATTCACCTCCCTCTCCTGTTGATCCACATGGACTATTACATGGCTGGTGTCGGGCACATATCCCAACTCCTTAATCTTTGCATAAACCTCTTCCCACTTCAGAGCAATCTCTTCCCTCTGTGGATGACGTTCATCATTTGCCACAAACATGTGGATAGCATTCTCAATCTCTACCCAACTGCAAGCAGGTTCTTTCTTCACTCCACTTTCCTTCATCATCTTTCTCACTCTCGCAGCATCATTCCATCTGCCACCTGATGCGTAGATGTTATAAAGTATAACATGAGGACCAGGGTCGTCAGGGTCAAGTTTAAATACATGCTCGGCCGCATAAGCTCCCAATTCCGTATTCTTGTGCATTCTACAAGCGTTAAGCAGGGCTTTCCAGATGGCTGCAGTGGGTTCTATTGGCATTTCTTCGATAAATCTCAGTGCCCTATTAAGATCACCAGCTCGCCCTAGAAGATCTACAACTGTGACATAGTGCCAAGCCTCGGGTACTATCCCATCCTTCTTCATCAATTCAAAGTACTGCCACCCTTCATCTAGAAGACCAGAATGGCTGCAAGCTGTAAGCACAGAGAGAAACGAGATTTCATTGGGACGAATCCCGCCTCTCCTCATTTCCTCAAACCAGTACACTGCTTCGTTTCCAAATCCATGTTGGGCATAAGCAGTTAGCAGTGAGTTCCAAGATACCACATCCCTTTTAGCCAATCTATCGAATATTTTTCTCGCATCATCGATGCTTCCTGATTTTGCATACATGTCAAGAAGAGTGTTTCCAGCGAAAGCCACAAGCTTTTCACCAGATTTAATCATATACGCATGAACCCATTTCCCTTGCTCCAAGAACCCAGTACTGGAACAAGCGCCAAAGAGGCTAGCGTATGAGAAATGAGAAGGCCTGAAACCATCTCTAAGCATATGTTGAAAAAGCTCAAGAGCCTTCTCCGTACCACATCTCCTAGCATGACCAGCAATCAGAGCATTCCAAGAAACATCATTCCTGCTCTCAAGCGCATCAAAAACCAATTGCGCATCATCCATAAGACCATAGCGAGTGTACAGGTCAAGAAGAGCGCTACCAACATGAACATTCGAATCAAAACCACACTTAATACAGAACCCATGAAGTTGATGACCAATACATCCTCTCGTTTCAGCTGCTGCAGCTTTGATCACACTAGACAAAGTGAACTCATTAGGACTAAACCCAAATCCAACCATCTGATTAAACAAGAGTAACGCATCACGAGATCGACCATGCTGCGAGTAACCAGAAATCAAAGTGGTCCATGTAACAAAATCTCTGTGAGGCATTTGGTCGAACACTTTGCGAGCTTCCTCCAAACTTCCACATTTAGCATACATATTGAGAAGAGTGTTGTACATAACGAGGTCATGACGGAAGATGGATTGAATCAGATGAGCATGAACGATCCTTCCCTGAGTAATTAAATTAAAGACTGTACATTTCTTCAGCAACATGTTGTAGAAACGTCTATCGGCGGGAATATAACTGCCGTCGATATAGTTAATATTAGCGGGGAGAAGAAGATCATTGGATCGGAACACTACAGGCTCGTCGTCGGAATCTTCAGATACCAGTGCCGGAACAGAACGTAGACGCCGGAATATTTTCAGTTGGGAGATGAGACGATACGGGAAAGGAGCGGAATTTGATAATGCAGTTCGAGTTGTCGCCATGATCGTGAACAACACAAATGCTCGCGAAACATACGAAACAGAGTTTTACCAAAAAAACAAAAAACAGAGTGGACTATTACAATAAACTCGTGTTTCGTTAAAACAGTCTAAACTCTAAACTATGAAGCCTGATGTCTCAAGTCAAAACAGAACAAAAAAGGTCTCATTTTTAGATTCATAACAAAAAGGTCTCATTATTAGATTCAGTTATAAGAACCTCCTTGAATTGTCAAGGGGCAACTCAAGCTGATGACAATCACCAATTCAGTAACGAATGAGACATTCAATCAAAAGAAGCAGACAGTGAATTTTTGTTTTGTAGGAAACATTGATGCTAATTGGTTGGTTTCATAACATTGCCAAGTGTGCTCTGTTTATTGTGAAATTTTAATGTTACTGAGACACAAAGGCAAAGACAAAGACTAGACTCCTAAAAAGAATCGTATCCCTCTTTCTCAAGTTAAGATGGTAATTGGTGAGAAAAATCAAAAAAAAAAAGAGAGACAGAATTTAGTGGATGATCTAGTAGTCCATGCCTCCCATTCCACCCATGCCTGCTCCAGCTCCTGCTGACTCGCTATCGTCTTTAGGAAGCTCAACCACTACTGCTTCAGTTGTTGTTAACAGAGATGATACACTGACACCAACAAAGGTATACAATTTTAGATTCTTAAACTTGTATGTCCTAACGAAGAAACAACATTGTTTGGTTTTAGCTTTTGATTATTACCTCGCAGCATCAACCAGAGCCGTCCTGATCACTTTCAGAGGGTCTATGATTCCAGCTTTCACCATATCCACATATTCACCTAGTTTTTTTTGGGTTCAGAGTTAGGTAAGACGATATTCATTTATATATCAAAAGTGAAGTGACGATAGATTGTAAACTCAGCTCACCTTTAGCTGCATCATAACCGAGGTCTGTGTTTTCTTGTTCCAATAGTTTGCCAACTATAACAGCACCTTCAACTCCAGCATTTGAAGCGATTGTGTAAACAGGAGTCTGAAAAAACACAACCCGTTAAACAACTTCTTATTAAGAATAATCAGATCATATCAGATCATATGATCTTTGTTATAGAGAACCGCTCAGCTTTTACCTTCAATGCGTTCTGAATGATCTGCACACCAATCTTCTGATCAAAGTTGGCTGTTGGAAGTTTTTCCAATTCTCTGGCTGCGTATAGAAGAGCTACACCTCCTCCTGCAAGTGTTTTGGTATGTTTGTTGAGCACATTCCAATTTCTTTTTAGCTTTTATGTCAATGGTGTGTTCTTTACACAGAGGATACATACCTGGCAAAATACCCTCTTCAACAGCTGCTTTAGTGGCATTCAATGCATCTGTCACTCTGTCTTTCTTCTCACCAACTTCAGCCTCACTTGCTCCTCCGATCTAAACACAATTAGCTCCAGAAATTTAACAACAAGACATTTACAAACCAGGCTGCTATGATGAGACTACAGTAACACTTAACAATGAACAAACCTTCAAAACTGCAACACCTCCAGAGAGCTTGGCCAAACGTTCTTGCAATTTCTCCTTGTCATAATCTGAGGTGCTCAATTCAATTGCTGACCTAATCTGTTAATTGCAATACCAAGCAATTAGACAGATAACTTTTTTTACATCTTCAATTCATTGATTCATTTGATTACAACCAATTGATGAGACGGATAACTAACCTGCTCACATCTTTCCTCAATGCCTTTCTTGTCGCCAGCCCCATCAAGAATAACAGTGTCGTCCTTGGAGACTGTAACCTACAAATAACAAGACAAGTCCCAACTCACTTACAATCTAACAACCAATATGCTGATAATGCCACAGCCAATTTAACTTCATACTAAGAGCCACCATGTCTATATTAGTCAAGGTTCCAAAGGCTACCTTTTTGCAGGTTCCTAGCATGCCCAGGTCCACCTTCTCCAGATTCATGCCAAGCTCATCCGTGATAACCTATATCAAGCCAAGTCATAAATCTGCCATTGTGGATAAGGTTCACAAGACTACACATTACAAAACAAATTGTAATACCTCTCCACCAGTAAGGGCAGCAAGGTCTTGCAAATTGGCCTTCCTGTTCTCTCCAAATCCAGGGGCCTTGATGGCACAGACCTGTAGGGAGGACTCTATTAATCTGCACAGAAGATCATCCCTAAAAATCCGGAGACAATAGTAAAAGCTTCAGTTGTTCAAACCTTGATTCCGGCACGGAGCTTGTTAAGGATAAGAGTTGCAAGAGCATCACTCTCCACATCTTCAGAAACAATCAACAGTGGTCTTTGCCTCTGTAAGATTTTATTTGGACAGCAAAAACAACATTAGACGCTGTTCACACATCATTTTTCATGAGAATATGTTCTGAATTTACTATGATAATAAAGCAGAAATACCTTCAGAGCCAATTCCAACACTTTCACGATAGAGTTGATGCTTGAGATCTTCTTCTCATGAATAAGAATGAGAGGATCGTCTAGTTCCTACATAGATTGAATTAAAATTTAGTAAATTCTATAATTAATTTGCCACATCCAGGAACTTAATTGAGTATGGAGTAACACTTACACATTTTTGGGTTTTTTGATTAGTAATGAAGTATGGGGACGTATAACCTCTGTCCAATTTCATCCCCTCTACAACTTCCAACTCGTTAAACAATGTCTTTCCATCCTGCAATGCATTTACGGAGAGTTACGGTTTGACCAGTATATAAGTAGCACTGTAGCAACATAAGCAAACATTCAGAAATTCACTTACTTGGATTGTGATTACACCTTCTTTGCCAACCTTCTCCATAGCCTTTGCAATCAGTTCTCCAATTTCCCTCTCTCCATTTGCAGAAATTGTCCCAACCTGTGCAATCTCTTCGGATGTGCTGATCATCCTAGCTTTGCTTTTAAGGTTTGTCACCACAGAATCAACTGCCATGGAGATACCCCGTCTCAAGTCCATTGCGTTCATCCCTGCGGCAACTGATTTGCAACCTTCCGTGAATATTGCCCGGGTAAGTACAGTAGCACAAGTAGTGCCTGCATCACAAGTAAAGTAAAGTTATGGTCTTTCAAATTTTCAACAACTATGAACTCAGAAGTTAAGAGCCAAGTATATCAATCAAAGAGAATATCTTACCGTCACCAGCAACATCATTAGTAGCATTTGCAACCTGCTTCACAAGACTGGCACCAACGTTCTTGATCTTATCTTTAAACTCAATACTTTTGGCAACGGTAACACCATCTTTTGTCACTTTAGGAGCACCCCAACTTTGCTCAATCACAACATTACGTCCCTTCAAACCACAGAAAGCAGAAAGTCAGACGCAATTAACGCTTAGACCAAATCATTACAGACTAAACCGGTTACCCAAATCACATGCTAAGGAAACCTCTGGACCAATTCATATCCAAAATAAATCAAACTGAGTCGGATACAAAAAAAAAGTACCTTTGGACCCATGGTGACTTTAACAGCATCGGCAAGATCTTCAACACCCTTAAGCATCAAAGCTCGAGCTTCAACACCAAACTTAATTTCTTTGGCTGCATAGTTCCTGCTCCAGCTCATTCTGCTTGAAACCTGAGTACAAAGAGAAAGAAACAGTAAGCTCGTACCCCGAAATTACAGACCTATCAAAATCAAATTCAACAAGTAGTTCCTTAGAATTACCTGGCGAGTGTTTTGAGCAATCCTGGGAACAGAGAACAAAAAAAAAAAACATTTTTATTATCCGAATTGGTAAATAAAAATCAGAAAGCAATTAGATTTAAAGAGCCCAGATCAGTTAAAGAAGACTAGATCAAAAACCCAGATCGATTCAATTACTCATTGCCCTCCATTGTTAAGGTGAACCCATTGAAAGCTAAATAAAAAAAAGACGAAGACAGTGAGTTCCTACCTTGCCTTGGAGGCGAGGTTAGAAGCGAAACGATACATGGTGAGTGAGAAGGAAGAAGATAAACGGTGAAGACGCCGAGGAAGAGATGAATCGAACGGGAGAGTTAGATCAGTGATGAACAGGCGGAGAGAGAGAGAGAGAGAAGAAGAAGAGTGGAGGACTTAATAAGCGAAGGAGAAGACTCTAGAAGCAGCTGCTACTTACTATATGAGCCTTTAGGGTTTTAGGCCCCTTTAGGGTTTAACTTCATTTGAAAAACCTTTTGTTAAATTCCATTTTCCAATTTAAATTTCGATCATTTCTTCATCAGACCGGAAAAATAAAATCAAAAATCAATTAGGAGTTTCTCAGTGTTTGGTTAAAACAGCATTTGTGATTTTGCAATACCATCATAATTAATTTACGAAATTTTATATATTCATGGACAAAATTACTTTGAACCGAACCAAACCAAACCGTAATCAATTACAAACGATAGTTTCGGTTTGGATTCGATTACAAATAGTTTCGGTTTGGATTCGACTACAAAACAAACACAAAAACAAAAGGGTGGTTATTTTGAGGTTTAAAAAGATTGAATTGGAGATGATCATTTGGTTTTGGTTTGATTAGCTGTTTTTAGCTATTAAACTAGAAACTTGTACAATCTTAGAACTAAACAAAAAAATGATTTTGTCTCTTTGGTCTACATTAAAGAGATTTTTCAATCTGTGTAAACAATGATTATGCTTCACAAGAAAAGTAGAGAGACAACAAAACAGGTAAAAAGTGTGATGGTCACTAGTCAATGTTCATTTCATTTCATTTGCTTCCCCATTACTTGGGCTTTCCTTTGTCGTCCCTAAACTTGAGGAGGAATCTTGAAGTTTCTAAAACATGTCAATTTGAGTAGAAGAGCGTTTTGGTTGGCCGTTGTCGTCATGTTCCACGGGCCGGCCACATGTGATCTCTTCATGTTCTATAATTTGTTTCATTTCATAAATATATAGATGTCCATCACACGACACTAATTTCTCTTCATTTTTAATGTTTTTTCCTAATTATGTTTGGTACAAGCTCAACGTTCTCTTTGGTTAAACAAAAATTATGTTAACAATTTTTTTAAAAAGTTTTGTAAAAAGATGAATTTTTGCCTATACATTGAGTGAACGTTAAAAAAAAGTTGCAACCAAACCCCAAACCAACAAAAATAAAACGTTCAAATCACAGAAGAGAAAAAAAAAAAAAAAAAAGGAATGTAAAAATTATTTTCAGAAAATAAAAGAGAGAGAGATCTGAAGAACAAAGGAAAAACCAAATTACTCTCTCTTACGAACGAACAAATATATACAAACGCTTTCTCCTCTCTTCGTCTCCTTCTTCAGATCGAAAACCCTAATTTTTGTTTCCATTCTTCGACAATCCCATCGACTTTTTTTTTTGTTTTTTGAAATTGTTCGTTTCGAGATCTCCCTCTTGTTTCCTCCCTCCACACGAATTTCAACAATATCTTCTCGATCTTTGCGTCAGGATCTAGGGAGCTCTTTGGATTTCGAAGTTCCTTCTCAATCAGTCGTAACAACGGGGCGATTTTGGTTGGGTTTAAATGGATTCAATGGTGATTAAAAAAGCATTGATTTGAATCAGTTGGAGGGGAAAACATTTCTTCCCTCTTGCGAGATTTCAACTATATTTTTCCCCAATGGCATCAGCTAGTTCTCGGAGGCAAGAGGTCGCTGAAGCTGGACGCCGTAAGGTCAGATCATCTTCTTCCTCATACCCTTTTTGTTTGATTCTCTCGTTACTTTGAATTATCCCCCAAAAATTTGTCGGTACTGAGTCAATTGATCCTCTCTCTTTCTGGGTTTATCTCATCATTACTCGCCGAATCTGTTAGAATTCAGATTTTGATGTTCCAACGCATGCAAATTTTCAGAATTGAGATTTGTTCCACCCAACAAAAAAAAAAAGTTTTATTTTTTGTGTTTTTGAGATGAATGCCTAATTTGTGTGTTCTTATTATAAGTTTAATTTCTGGATTACAGCTTGAGCAGTTTCGGAAACAAAAAGCAGCAGAAAGAGCTAAAAAGGCATCACAGACTAGTACTACCACACAGCCTGTTGATAATAGCCAGCAAAGTGTCTCAGATTCAGATGGAGCTGTGTCATCTCTGCCTAATGGACCTCTCAAGCAATCTTCTCAAGTTTCCTCGTATGAAACCGATGTACATAATTTATCGTTCTCGAATATAGCAACACCGAATGATGGAAGTAAAGAAAGAAGTGAAAAAGATGATGGTCAGGAATCAGTTGGCAAAGATGATTTTTCTAATAGCTTAGAGTTGATTGGTTCCTCCAAGGACTTAACAGTGAATAATAGGCCTGAAGTTGTACCTTATAGCAATATAGACAAGCAATCGAGTGAGAGTTTTGGTCGTGCTTCTACTCTAAGAGAAAGTGATGGTGTTGTTAAAAGCACATCTCCTTTTTCTGGAAGCACTCTGCTATCTACCTCGATGCAAATGGACGGTTTCTATCATGGCAGTGGATTAATCTCACCAAGGAAAGGTACATGGCTATCATATGAGATTGATGCAGCAGTGTATTTTGTCCTACCCCTTCTCTTTTTTTGGTTCCGGTAAAGGGAACAACCTAATTAATATTTACGTTTTTTGTTGCTAGACTCTCTACAACCTACTACCAGAATGGCAGGGTCTTTTCACGAAGTTGCCAAAAACCAACAGGGAAGTGGTGAACAAGGCGGAGGTAGCATTGTGCAGAAGCCAACTTTGTCTAGCAGTTATTTGTTTAGTTCTCCAGACATATCATCTCAACCTTCTGAATCTTCAGATTTCGGTGTAAATAACACAAGCTCTTCACCATATAACTCAGCTAAAAGTGAAGCAACTGTGAAGAGATCTCGTCCGTCTTTCCTTGATTCCCTCAATATTTCAAGAGCGCCAGAGACTCAAACTCAATATCAACACCCTGAGATTGAAGCGGATTTCGTTACATCCAGTAGTTCTCAACTAACTGGCAATGATGGTTTTGGGCCATCTTCACTCCAGTATAATACAGGGAAAAGAGATAGTAATGGACCGTCTTTGACAAGCGGAGCATCTGATCCTCCTAATCCATTTGATAAATTCCGGAGTTCTTTGTATCCTGCTGCCAATGGAGTAATGCCAGGTTTTACTGATTTCTCCGTGCCAAAACAAAATGATGATTTTACTGCTCTGGAACAGGTAGGATACTTATTTCTTGCACCATATATTATTTGTCAGCTTATTGTCGATATGATACTTAGTATGGTCTTCTCATATAGAAGAATTAGGTGGGGAATTGATCCGATCTTATATGAAGACAACCAAATTGTCAAAGATTTTGAGTTGATGCCTTCTCATATATAAGGATGTTAGCTTTCACTATTCCACTTTGTACACTCTTTATCTTGTGAATTTTCTGAACCACGGTTTCAATTTTTTTATTTGTAGCATATTGAGGATTTAACACAAGAGAAGTTTTCACTGCAAAGGGATCTTGATGCTTCACGTGCACTGGCAGAATCCTTAGCATCAGAAAACTCTTCGATGACAGACACGTATAACCAGCAGGTACATGCAACCTTGTGGCATCCTAGTTGGATATTTCCCAACTTTGATATTGTACTCGAAATCAATCTTGACCATTTATCATACCTAATTGTTAGCCAGACTATACTGTCATTTGGTTTTGGGGTCCTTATTCATGATGTAAATAGATGTTATTTGACTCTTGTTAAACTGTAATGCTCTTGATACGCAATTGACATTTACTGAGCTTATCTACTTTCTGACAGTGCATGATGTTATATATTGTTTGCTATAAGACATGGTGTTTACTGACCTTTATAATAATCCCAAATCCTCCCAATGTATATGTAATACTTGTTCTTGCTTTTATCTCATACAGAGAGGTCTTGTTAACCAACTAAAAGATGACATGGAGAGGCTATATCAACAGATCCAAGCCCAAATGGTAAGTATTAACTACCTCTACACTCACCGAATTCCAATTGTATATGCTCGAACAGTATACTTTAGTAAAGCATGTATTGCATTTTGCGACATTTGTATGCTATCAGATTGCTTGATATTTACTTACGACACTCAAAATTTGAGTATGATCCTGGATGAGTATCTGTGTGTGATGTCATTCATCCTCTGGAGCTATTGTCTAGATTACTTAAAAAGCTGTTTTTTGATTTAACACTAATTTTGTCCAGGGGGAACTTGAGTCTGTCAGGATTGAGTATGCAAACGCACAGCTAGAATGCAATGCTGCTGATGAGCGTTCCCAAATACTGGCTTCTGAAGTCATCAGTTTGGAAGATAAGGTATTTGGCTTTGGATGTTATTTCTTACATTCACATTAGATTTCTACAAGAACCAACATTTTTGGCTCACTTAGCTGCAGAAGTGTGAAAGGACATGTTTAGTTTAGTTTTTGGGTACTTAAGCTGTGAGATATCGGTTTCCTCTAAATTCAGATGCTTATATACATCTGCTTAGCTTATTTTTTTCTTTTCTGTTAGGCTCTCAGACTCAGATCTAATGAGTTAAAGCTGGAGAGGGAACTGGAGAATGCACAAGCAGAAATGTTATCTTACAAGTATGCTCTTTAATACCTGTCGGTATCTTCACGTTTACATGGTGTTTAATCCAAAAAGAATCATGGGATAGTGGAAAACTCCCCCAAGGATTCAGTCTGTAACTTTGATGGCTTTCTGAGATCTAGTTTATCTGATCTATAATTACTTATCAACTTTTATAGGAAAAAATTACAGAGCCTAGAGAAAGATCGTCAAGATTTACAATCTACAATTAAAGCTCTTCAGGAAGGTACTCACATTGAAATATATTCCTCTAAAATGTAATGTGATTGAACAATTCTGTATTTACCTTATATTCTGCATCTACTGTTTCAGAGAAGAAGGTCTTACAGACTATGGTGCAGAAAGCTTCCACTGGTGGAAAATCCACTGATCTGAGTAAAAGCTCAACTAACAGAAAAAACGCGTCAACCTCTACAGAAGGTCTCGGTAATTGTCTTTGCACACTATTTAAGAAATTTAAAGCATATTTTGGATGTCTAAACTCATATATTTGTTTCTTCGACATCCCTTAGATAAAGTTTCAAGTTTAATCTTTGACTTCTCACCAGTCCCATGACTCTTTATTTTCTTGGTGCAGCAATCTCAGATACTACGCCAGAGAGCTCCATCCAGGAAACTGATTCCACTACTCTGCTCGAAAGTGATTCATCTAATACAGCTATCATTCCTGAAACTGGACAATTAATTCTTGAAGGTTTTTCATTGAGCGTCCCAGCTGATCAGATGAGAGTGATTCATAACATTAATACGCTGATTGCTGAGGTAGTTGTTATGGATTATTTATTTGATGTTTTCTTCTTTGTTTGAAAAGTTTTCTTCAGCTGTGAGATACTTTTTAATTCTCGAGGTGCTATCATTTTCTCAATTTGGATAATCACGTGATGATTATTTTACTTGTTCGGCTGCAGTTGGCAATTGAGAAGGAAGAACTGGTGCAAACACTGTCATCTGAGTTATCTCGAAGTGCACAGGTGCAGGTACAGTAACATAATTTCATGGGGCTAAAACATGTCTTCTTTAACTTCAGTAAGAAATTTCTGTCACCATAACATCATGCATAAGTTCTCTGACTAGACTTTCTATAGGGTATAGATTTATATCTCTAAGTCCTCACAGACTCAAAATCCCCTACCTTGTCTTCTTATGCTTCATGTTTCTTAACCATAGGAGCTGAACAAAGAGTTATCCAGAAAACTTGAAGCGCAGACAAAAAGGTTAGAGCTTCTAACAGCACAGAAGATGGCCATAGACAATGTTTCACCTGAAAAGCTGCAGACGGATTCTCATGTTGTTCAAGAGAGAACACCGATTGCAGATGAAGGCGATGAGGTACTCTCTCTCTCTCTCTCTCTCTCTCTGAGTTTAAAACTTCAATCTGAGAAAGATTAGACATTAATGACATCTCTCTCTTCAGGTGGTAGAAAGGGTTCTAGGATGGATCATGAAGATGTTCCCAGGAGGACCGACGAAAAGAAGGACAAGCAAGCTTCTCTAATGCATGGTTTGCTCAGTCGTGTGACCCTTGTTGCCATTCTGTATATCCCGGGCACAGCCATGGATCACGTCTTCTCCTTTAGTTTTGGAAGAAATCAGTTGGTTCTTTTGATCCAAAATTTTGGATTCCATTGAATTGAGCAAAAATGGTATAGTGAGAGAGACACCTTGAAGAGTTCCAAATGAATTAGAGACACGGAAGCTAAAACAAAGAGAGAGAGGTTATATGAGTGCCTTTTTGCTGTTTTTTACTTAATTTTGTAACTGTTCATTATATATAGCCAAGTTTAAAAGTGTTCCTAGCCAAATATAATTTACCAACAAAAAAAAGAAATCTTGTATGGTTTTTGGATATTATCTTCTCGTTTTAAATTGAAGACTTGATCAAACTTTGATATAAACTAGGTGTGATTTTGATAATGTCTCATGCCCAAAATATTTATACAAGTATAAAATGAGTACTATATTGTATACAATATTTATGATGTAGAGTATATGATGGTATCTTTTAGAGCCATTGGCAATAACAATAGAGTAATTACATGATTGACAATACATATTCTATGAGGACTTTATTAAAATAGTTAACAGGCTTGCAGTACTCTGGTAACCAAAGATATGTATCTTTCACAATTCACTCATTTCATAATAACTCTTAGGTTTTATATTAAACCTACATTTGATGGGCACTTACTCGTTCTCCTGGATCATTAGTGAGTTTCTTTCCCGAGACCACAATCACGAAACTACTAGTATTAGCTTGCACCGTTGGATTGGTCTTGCTTCACGCACAAGCTACCGATGAAACTACGTTGGAAACCCTTTGTTTCAAGAATGGTTTTCAATCCCTCTCCCTCGTTTCCTCTCTGGCCAACGTCTTGTGAGATTACAGAACAACGACCGTTTCAGCGATAATGGATTGGTTACGAAGATGCATGGTGGTATCGTTGTGAGTTGCTCACGATGATGCTAGAGTCGAGTTTGCTTATCATATAAAAGAACTGTGACTTGTCTTTATTCTGCTTACTGGTTTAGTCATCACAAGTCCATTGCATTGAATGGGATTCTTCATTGGCTTTCTAACCTCGCTGGTCATCTCATGATGATGCGTATCATATCATACATTTCCCTGACAGTGGAAAAGATTATGAGCTACCGGGTTTTAGGAGAACCATCACGACCTCAGAAGGGTCTATTGTATACGTCAACGAGTATCGTGGGAACGGTACATTACGGGTTTGGAGGCTGGTCAAGTACACTGATGTTGGTGTCTTTGATCGATAATTATATTTATTATTTCTCCGTGGTGATGCATCCTTTTATATTTGAAGAGTCGATTAAACTATTATATATGATGTGATTTAGATATTTATAAATAATGGTTATAATTTATAGAAAATTTAAAAATATGAATACTAAAATACAATTATAGAACTAACATTAAACTTTGTCAAAATTATATGAAATGTCATTGGTTTTAAGAATAAAAGAAAATTTCTTACTAAAATAAAAATGTCTACTCATTCAAAGTTTTCAATAGTCAAACAAGTTTTTAATACAATCTTTGTAGTCAAACAAACATATATATCTACATTAATCTTATATAATATCTTTCTTTCTTTGAATTAATTATATTTATATTCTATATAGAAAAAAATCTTCACAAAATAAATTTCTAACTTATTACATTTAAAAAATGAATCTATTAACATTTTTGAAGTATCTTTTGGGTTACAACTTTTTATTTTATACTATTTGCATAATTAACCTCTTGCCATTTGAATAAATAACAAAACTTTAAGTTAAATTTTGTAATTAAATCATAATAAAATTGCAAAATTGGAAATCAATATTTAGTACATTTAACAAAATTTCCTAAAATATCTCCCTAATAAATCAAATATTTTTCTAATATCTTTATATGATCTTATTTGTTTTGAAAATTATATTATTACATAAAAATATGTATAGTAAAAATATATTTTTCGCATATGTTACAACTTGAATTTTTTAAAACGGACGTAATCGATACAAAAATGTATGTACTAAAGTATTATTGATAATTGTGTAGCACGGGCCATGTGATGAAATGAGTTATAAATTACATATATGTTTTTACGGGTTGTTTACTATAGTCAAGCTCACAAAATATTTTAATTTGAAATTAGACTATTTAAACGAAAGATGTTATGTCAACATCATTTCATTATTTTGAATATTAGATTTATTTAGTTAAGTTGATCAAATTACGATTATATACAAATAATATCATGCCATATTTTACGGGTTAAATTATAGAATTAACAATCAAAATACAGTAGTACAATTTTATATACCAAACAAAATTTTAAAAATAATTCATTTTAAAATTTTGTCCCATGGTGTACCGCGAGTTAAACTCTAGTAAAAGTGTATAATACCTCCTAATAGAAAAACCACAAGACAAAAATTAACCCCTGAAACATGAGTATATTAATCTGTATTAGATGTATAATTTTTGAAATATTCTATGCAAATAATTAATTTTATATCTTAATAATAATAAGAAACATTAAACATTCTAGTGCTGTAAAATAAATGTATAAATATCGTGATATACGACAAATATTAGTGTAACCAAAACTTAATTTCATAATATGTTTTACATTTTATATTGAACAACATTATCCATATATTTGTTGAATTTTAGCGATTGGTAAGGTAACCTAATTAAAAAGAAAATGAAAGTGTGTAGAAGCCATAGTTGGTTATAAGTTATCTTCAATTACCAATCAAAATTATGATGAAACAGAGGAGTAGTTGATATAAAAAGATCTAAATCTAGGACTTAATTGTAATTTCATAAACCTAATGTTTGCGTTTTGATAATTTATAAATAATTGTAATTTTCATTCAACCTCATGGTATCGATAACATAACCTACTTCGTTTTCCACCGCCGCTCACTCCAACGACATTTTTTGTAACTTTTCATTCTCTCTCCAGACGGATTCAGGTAAGACTCCAAATTTTTTTTTCCGTTACTATTAGCGAGACCATTACAACGTACACAAACCAAAATCTTTTCAATGTTGTCAATATATATTTTGCTAAAAGATTTAGATCTTTGTATTTCTGCATGAAGATTTTGATCTTTGTATTTCCGCATGAAAATAACGTATATTATATTTTTCCTTAGGAAACTTATACGTAGATTAAGTTTAGTTTCCGCATGAAAAATTAATATATGAAGCAAGCTTACTCTTGTTGGTTTTCCAATAATAGCACAAAACGAATCTGTAATTTATTGGTAATTCAAATATTGAAGATATGTTGTTGGAGCTATTCAATTCATTGGTTATATGTTTTTTGTTTGCAGAAATGAATATTCCAGAAGTGGCACTTGAAGTATTGGCACGGCTTTCATTGAAAGACATTGCAAGATCCAGGTCAGTGTGCAAAGAGTGGAAACTTTTGATGGATTCAGATTTCTTCCGAGATCACTTCATCTCTCTCAACTCCTCCTCAGTCTCATGGTCAATCATCCAAACAAGACCTCACAAGCTTACACTTGAAATCTTGAGTCATCATGGATGCAAAACATGGGCACTTACTCGCTCTCCAGGATCTTTAGTGAGTTTCTTTGCCGAGACAGCAATCAACAAGCTACTTGTCCTAGCTTGCACTGATGGTTTGGTCTTGGTTTACGCAGAAGCTAGCGACGGGACTCCAATGTATTACATTGGAAACCCTTTGTTTCAAGAATGGTTACAAATCCCTCACCCTGATTTCCTTTCTGGCCAACTTCTTGTGGCATTTACGACGCAAGGGCAATACAACAATACTGGATTGGTTACGAAGATGCAAAGTGGTATTGTTGTGAGTTACAAGGTTGTGTTGTTGATCGCTCCCGAGGATAACAAAGTCGGTTTTGCTACTTACTCATCTAATACAGGGATGTGGGAAATTCAAACTGTGACTTGTCTTGAACCTCACAGCTGGTTTTGTGACTCCAGGTCGATTTCTTTGAATGGAATACTTCATTGGTTTTCAAATCTCAACACTTCTTTCATAGCTTATGATTTCTATGGAGGTCATGCCAGTGCTAATGTTGATGATAAGTGTTGCATCATACCTTTCCCTGATAGTGGAAAAGGTTATGAGTTACCGCGCTTTAGGAAAACCATCACAACCTCGGAAGGGTCTATTGTGTACTTCAACGATTATGGTGGGAACAGAAACAACACATTACGCGTTTGGAGGCTGGTCAAGTACACTGATGTTGGTCCTGATAAGGCGTGGCAGCTCTTTTGGCAAGTGAAGTTGGATTCTTCTATGATGGATTTGTTAGGTATCGATTACATCCCGGTGGTGATGCATCCTTTGAACTTTGAGATCATCTACTTATGGAGCATGAACAAGAAAGGTATGGTGTTGTTTAACTTGAGGACAAAAGTGTTTACTCTTCACAAGGAAGCTGAAGACGCTCGTAAGTGTATGGATGGTTGCGTCTTGAGTTTTGATCATTGCAACGAGTATATGGACAAGATCTGTGGCTACTTCTTCCCATGGCTTCACAGTGGTTGTAACCGTCTCATCTTTTCACAGTTTGTTCTCCCTCGTTGGTTCCACCGTCTCCCTCGTCCTCAAGTCCTCCTCAACCTACTTAATTAGTGTAACTATATGTTTTGAGTTTATATATCACAGTGTTCTCTCATGTTGCTACCAATCAGAATCTTTATTTAACATTTTCAATTAAGACTTATTAAACCGGTTTATGAATTGTGAATCCAAACATAACCAACAATGAGCAAACTTAGTCGTCCTAAACACAACTCGAAGAAGAAGAGAAGAACCCTAAAAATGGAGATTTTAGAAGTGACATTGGTCAACGTCTTGGTGAGGTTTCCATTGAAGAGCATCGCGAGATTCAGATCAGTGAGTAAAGAATGGAAATTGCTAATTGATTTAGACTTCTTCAGAGATTTCTACATCTCTTTCAAATCATCTTCGTCAACCTCATGGTCGATCATTCAAACGAACCCTCACAAGCTCGCTCTTGAAATCGTCGGTCACCATGGATGCGAAAGGTGGGGACTTTCTCGTTCCTTTGGATCTTTAGTAAGTTTCTTTGCTGAGACAACGATCAGTAAACTAAATGTCTTAGCTTGTACAGATGGGTTGGTCTCGATTTGTGTAGAAACTAGTGATGGGTCTCCGATGCATTACATTGGAAACCCTTTGTTGAAGGAATGGTTTCGAATCCCTCAGCCTCCTTTTCGTAATTTTGAGAAATTGCGGAAGCACGAGAGGTTTAGTAACAGTGGATTGGTTACAAAGATGGAGAATGGTGTCGTTGTGAGTTACAAGGTTGTGTGGTTGTTGACTCATGTTGCTAAGGTCGAGTTTATGATTTACTCATCTGATACAGGGATGTGGGAAAGACGATTTGTAACTTGTTTGCATACTGCTATGTGGTCTAGTCAGGACAAGTCGATTGCTTTGAATGGGTTTCTTCATTGGCTTTCTAATCTCACTAGTTCTATTATCGCCTATGATTTCTATGGAGGTTGTAATGGTGTTGATGATGGGTTTCATATCATACCTTTCCCTTTTAGTGGAAAAGATGAGATATTGCGTTTTAGGAGAACCTTTACAACCTCGGAAGGGTCTATTGTGTATTTCAATGAGTTTTGTGAGAATGAAAACCGCATATTACGGGTTTGGAGGTTGAGAAAGTATACTGATGGTCCTCAGGCATGGCAGCTCCTTTGGGATGTTAGCTTGGTGTCTTTGATCGAGTTAGGTATCATTTATTTCCCTGTGGTGATGCATCCTTTGAACTCTGAGATCATCTACTTCTGGAACAGGAGCCAGAAAGGTCTGATCCTTTTTAACTTGAGGACAAAAGTGTTTACTCTTCACAAGGAAAGTGAAGACGTTCGTAAGTGTATGGATGGTTGCGTCTTGAGTTTTAACTGGTGCAGCGAGTATATGGAGAGCATCTCTAGATACTTTCTCTCATCATTTCGAACTGGTCATAGCCATCTCTTCTTTTCACAATATGTTGCCCCAAGTTGGCTGCATCATCTCCCTGGTCCCAATCCTACTTAGTGTACTATAATTCAAGTTTCAGTCTGATGAGATAGAGTGTATTTTAAGAGGAAGAAGGCACATGTGGGAACCAAATTTGAATGGGGAATAGACGCTTGGAGAGGACAGCTGAAGGAAGAAGAGAAGAAGCTCGTAACCGAATTGTAGCTGACTATGGCTTGATGTTATTGTGTGTGAGCTGTTAATAGAAGTTGAGTTATGCACGGAGAAGCTCTAGAGAAATCTTCATTGTATTCCTACATTGTGTCATTTGCTAGGATAAATACAGAGGTTATACATTCATTCTTGTCACAATCCCAATGTCTAATCTGTAATGGTTAAAACATGCATATTTCTCATTAGAGCCTGTAAGACAAATACATACACCATGATGGTAGTAAACTTCTATATTCAATCAAAACAACAATTTAGTAGCATTCAGCTAAACTCACGGAACACTATCAAGCTTGTCTGATATGTTCTTCGCCAACCAAGGATGGTTTCACATTGGGAAACCATTTGTTGCAGGAATGGTTTCGAATCCCTATGCCTCCATTCCTCTCTTTTGAAGACCTTGAGAGCTTAAAGAACAACGAGCTCTTCAGTGGCAGTGGATTGGTTACTAAGATGGAGAATGGTATCACTGTGAGTTACAAGATTGTCTATCTTATACCAAATCAAACCGTTCGAGTAAACCATGGAAGATTAAATGTCAACACAATTTAAACTAGAGATTTAGTGGGCTACGTTGGGCCTTTTGTGCAACTGGTTCTATCTTAATCACACTGATTAACACACGTAACGTTTTCTTGTTTGTGCTCCCAAAAAATAACTAATAAACTAAACATGTAATTTATTTGTAACTTATATATTTAATTTTTTTGTTTTTCGAGCTTTTTCGTTTCATATTTTCATTGGATTTTGTGTGTTCAGCAAGAATCGATTAGATATATAAACCTAATCGAAGAAGAAGAAGAAGAAGTCAAGAACCCTAAACCCCAAAAAAATGGAAAATCAAGATATGCAAACGGAAGTCTTGGTGAGGTTACCACTGAAGAGCATCGCAAGATTCAGATCAACGAGCAAAAGTTGGAAACTTGTAAGACCATCATTATAGGCAGTTTCTTAGAGCATTCTTAACATAATTTCTGATTTAATTAAATAAAAAACACACACTTTACTAAAATACAGATCTTGTGCAAGATCTATATTATAAATTAAGAAGCGTACACGTGGCATATTATGATTGGATTATTATTATTATTATTATTATTTTTTGTAAAATGCATGTTATGATTGGATAGTAAGATAAATATATAAGGCAAATAAAAAAAAAATTTCTAATTTTTTTTCTTTCTTTCTCTCTCTCGCGAAACAATGAGAGATCGAATGGTTCACTTTTACATTCAAATTCGTAGATATAAGAGATAACGAAAAAGTTGAAAACTCTTTCCTGTCAGAGATAACGTATTTTATGTTCTTTATGTTATAATATGTATTCTATGTATGCTTTAAAATTATAAATTTTCAATAATTATAAAATTTTCTAAAATTAAAAATTTTAATTTTATTTAAAATTTTAATTTTATTTAAAATTTTAAAATATTAATTTTTCTAAGATCCCCAACTTAATATCTTACTTATAAACACATCTCAAAACTAAAAACAAAAATACAACTTCTTAACCCTTACTTTTTCATATTTAATATTAAATTAATCCTAAGATCAAAATCTAACATGCTATTGATAATGTTGCTCTAATCGATTCAAACGTCTTCAGAGACTGATTCATCTCTCGCAACTCGTCTTCCTCAGTCTCGTGATCAATCATTCTGATGGAACCTCGCAAACTGACACTTGAAGCCATAGGTCACCATGGATGCAAAACATGGGGACTCACTCGTTCTCCTGATAATTAAAAAAATTTAAATTCATTTTAAAATGATATAAGGTTGAACATGAAACTATAAAAAAACAGAACCCCATTAACACTAAAGCTAATACATTTGAAAACTACAATAACAATATATTTATATATTTTTAACGCATACTTGAAAAACTCAGTTTTCTTGTGTGCGTCCAAAACAATAACTAACTAATTAAAATTGTATTTTATTTTGTAATTTAATTATGTAAATATTCAAAAATTTTGTTTTTTTGGAGCTTTCTCATTTTATTGGGTTTTGTGTGTTCTGCAAGAATCATATATAACCTAACCGAAGAAGAAGAAGAAGTCAAGAAGACAAGAACCCTAAATCCAAAAAATGGAAAATCAAGATATGCAAATGGAAGTCTTGGTGCGGTTACCACTGAAGAGCATCACAAGATTCAGATTAACGAGCAAAAAAATGGAAACTTCTGATCGATTCAGACTTCTTAGAGATCTATTCATCTCTCGCAACTCGTCGTCTTCAATCTTGTGGTCAATCATTCAGATGGAACCTCGCGAAGTACTGACACTTGAAATCGTTGGTCACCATGGATGCAAAACATGGGGACTCACTCGTTCTCCTGGATCTTTAGTGAGTTCCTTTGTCGAGAGAGCGATCAAGAGGGTACAAGTGTTAGCTAGCACGGATGGATTGGTGTTGCTTTACGTAGAAGATACCGATAGAACTCTTATGTATTACGTTGGAAACCCTTTGTTTCAAGAATGGTTTCGAATCCCTCTCCCTCATCACCTCTCTTTTCAATATCTTGAGACGCAGAGTGGATTGGTTACGAAGATGCAGGGTGGTATACTGGTATCGTTTTGAGTTACAAGGTTGTGTGGTTGATCGCTCACGATGATGCTAGAGTCAAGTTTATCATCTACTCATCTGATACAGGGACGTGGGAAACTCGATCTGTGACTTGTTTTCAAGCTTCACTGGATAATAGTGTCTTTTGATATATGCTAAGTTTTTAGGCTTGTAAAGGATGATAACATAGTTTTTGGTTTTGCCTTATTCTGTTATTAAGTTTTCATATTCTCATTTGTAAGAGTAAAAGAAATAAAATGAGAGTAGTCAAAACACTTTGATGGCCACCCATACATCTCTCCACCAAAATTTACTCATTTCTTTCATCACCACAAAATCAACAAATCCCAAATAATGCTAATCACACTATAAATACACACTTAAATTGTCATCAAACAAAACCAAATTAATAAAAAATTATAAATCAATCAACATTTACTTGATATAATCATGTCGAACTTGCAACAGTCCTACAACGCTGGACAGACCAAGGGCCAAGCTCAGGTCTCTTTCTCTTTTCTTGTTTTGTAGTTATAATATGATTGGACTTTTTAGTTTTGTTATCAACAAATTACTAAATGTAATAGATTTGGTTTTTGCAGGAGAAGGCTGAGCAATGGACAGAATCTGCAAAGGAAACTGCACAAAGTGCCCGCGACAAGACTGCTAACGCGGCGCAGTCCACCAAAGAATCTGCCCAACATGGCCAACAACAAGCCTCTGGTTTCATCCAACAAGTAAGTATAATTAACTATGGTTTGACCATTGCTTATTATGTGTATTTAAGAATGCATTAGTAAGATTATAAAACTGTGTCTAATCGATATATTAATGTTTATGGGGACAGACTGGAGAGTCAGTGAAGAACATGGCTCAGGGTGCTGTTGATGGTGTCAAGAACACTCTTGGCATCAATGATAAGAAATAATAAGTCAAAAGAACTATTCATATCATAAATTTTACCTATTTGGAGTTTATTAAAACATTTGAAAACTCCTTTTTGTCTTTAAAATTGATTTTGTAATAAAGTTATGATTTTGTACCTTTGTGTTTTGAAGATGTTGTCAAGAGATCTGAAAAGTAATAAAATGGTGTAGGATCTGCCCATATGATATATGCAATTGCAAATATGCAAATCCGACTTTATTCTGTCTTTATTCGTAGTGCCACAACAGAAGTTTTTATTTTGACAAAAAGAGAAAACAAAATCTTAAAACCAACCCTGCAAATAGCCTAATGATCAGTCACATAGTAACATGATCTAGAAGCTACAAATAAATAAACGTACAAATTCCCTCATGAACATACTACATAACTCCCTCTTAGATCATTCCACTTACTCATCAGTCACACATCCATCTGAAGCCGATTGCACATTCTTGATGTACTGTTGTTTTAGAATATCATATACCATTCGTTAGAAACTAATCGAACAGATGTCAAAGAGACATAGATACATCCAAGTAAATGAAGTCATATAGTACCTTGTATAGGACTCCGCGGTTAACCTTGTATGCAGGAGCAGTCCATTTCTTTCTACGCTCATTCATTTCTTCGGGTGAGACTTGTGTGTCTATTCTCTTCTTTCCTATGTCAATGGTGATTATGTCTCCGTTCTTTATCAAACCGATTGGACCTCCCTCCTGCAGATATAAATAGTAAGCACACCCGAAGAATTGCTTTAAACATTATTATCTTCACATTCTCAAATCACATGGATTATCTTCATTTTAGTATTTGAAATCAAAACTGCACAAGAGCCACCATAAACAATAACAGCATGCCTTTACCATTGTTCCTTTTTGCTAAAGCTATATATGACTATGACCCAATAGCAATATTTCCGTACACAAGAAATATATACAGGAAGAGGGACATGGATCTATCAAATTTATCTTTTAAGTACAAAATCTGGGATTCTACCATAAGTCAAATTTATCTTACAAGTGCCAGTGGACAGAGAGAGAAAGGAAGAGAGAAAAACCTGAGCTTCAGGGCAAATGTGGCCAACAACAAAACCGTGTGACCCACCAGAGAACCTACCATCAGTCAGTAATGCACATTCCTGCAGCATCGAATAGCAACATATCGTCTTTTTAATAGAAGTGTGTTTTCAGATGTGGATAAAGTAGATTAAACGAATCAGGTCACTACCATAAGCATGCATTGCTCAACTAGTCAGAGACCATAGCAAAGGGAAAAAACGAGTTCTTTAACTTAGAACATAATAAATGATCAGACTAAGTAAAATGTCTTACTAACCCAGTCATACTGGTCATACCTTTCCAAGACCGGCACCCATTATTGCACTTGTCGGTGTCAACATTTCAGGCATACCTGGACCTCCTTTAGGCCCCTCTCCTCTGATAACAACCACTGTCCCCTGAAACACATAGATTTCAGCATAAAAAGAAATAACAAGCATTTGAGACGAACTTCATATCAGAATGGAAATTACCTTAAAGCTCATTGGGTCTGCTGATATAGCAGCCAGCATAGATTCCTCTCCTTCAAATACAAGCGCAGGACCTAAAATAAAAAGTTAAAATTATATAAGCACTAAAATCGAGAAGCGTTAGCTATATATGGAGTGTAGAGGATGCATTAGAGTAAATCAACTTTACCAGAGAAATATAAGCCCTCTTTGCCGGTAATTTTTGCTACAGAACCATCTGGTGCAAGGTCTCCTCTCAAGATTTGTATGTGTCCTGTCTCCTTGATTGGATTTGACACAGGTCTAATTATCTCCTGGAAAATATATCATAATTGATTAGAAAACTGTATAGCTAACATCCATCATAAATAAGAAACAGCCAGTAGATTCTAATGAGATAACTAATAACATTACAAAAAATCGTACCTGCCCTTCTGTTAAGGAGGGAACGTTTTCTAAATTTTGAGCCAAAGTCTGCCCTGTGACTGGTAGGAGATGCAAAAGCATAGTTGTGTAGTCAGTTTTATAAGTAATTCACATCAACTGAAAATGCTCAGTGAGTTTATAAAATGTTTGAACATCATTACCTGTCATACAATCCCCATCCATAAATCCATGCTCTAATAGATAGCGAAGAACAGCTGGCGTACCACCAATCTGTAGATGAACCACCAAAACTTTAAAAAATGATCAATAGAAAACACAGAAGTAGTAAGCAAAATGATTTTGCCAAAGCCCTACCTTATGTATATCCTCCATAACATATTTCCCACTGGGTTTAAGATCTGCTAGGAACGGAACGGCATCACTGACCTTCTGAAAATCGTCAAGGGTCAACTCCAAACCAACAGACCTGAAATCATTTCAATTCATTAATTCTGTCCATTGCTTTCAATGGTAATAATAAGCAAAACATATCAATCTATCACCTTGCAATAGCAATTAGATGCAAGACAGCATTTGTCGAACCCCCAAGGGCCATGACAGTAACCATTGCGTTACGAAGGGATTTTGGAGTGATAATGTCCCGTGGTTTTAAGTCCATCTTTAGCAATTCTAAAAGATATCTACCGGCTAAACGGCACTCGTCCAATTTCAATGGGTCTTCAGCGGGTATCGAAGAGCTTCAAAAGAGAATAAGCAAATATATGAATCTTTCGAATAAGGATCCTGGAAATAACTTTCAGTTAAGCATAAATCTCTGAAAACGTTTGAAGTTGATTTTATAAATGTGGCCTTCAAGACTGAAAGCCTCACCTGTAAGGAAGGGACATTCCCATGGCTTCGATTGCGGAAGCCATTGTGTTAGCGGTGTACATGCCACCACAGGCTCCGGCTCCAGGACATGAATGATGGAGGACAGTCTTCCTCTGTTCATCACTTATGGAGCCACTAACAAATTCTCCATAACTCTGAAATACAAGATGGGAAAACATAATGAATCCCACAAGTACTAGAGCGATTTGACACCATAGTCACCAAGATCTTTGTAACTTAATCCCAAAATTGAAAAACTCAATGAAGTCTCACTAATAAACATTAGAATTTAGAAAGAAGGAGTAGTATATTATACTATTATAACCAAGCTCATAGTAATAGAAGAAAATATACCTGGAACGCAGATACTATGTCATATGTCTTTTCTTGAAAGTGGCCAGGCTGCAATAATATCAAAGCAAAGTCAATAGCTATCAAACTAGTCACAAGGGTTTAGGGTTTAAGGAACTGTCTTCTCTTCAATTTGATAAGTAAGAATACCTTAATAGTTCCACCATAAACCATAATGCCTGGTCTGTTAAGCCTCCCCATAGCCATAATAGTTCCAGGCATCTAACAAAAGCAACAAAACAACAACAGAGGAAATCAATCACACAACCATGGAGATAAAAGAAACATCATTTCCACAACACAAAGAAGGATGATTCAAAGCTCACATTTTTATCACAACCAGGAATAGATATGTTGCCATCATACCATTGAGCACTCATCACAGTCTCAATACTGTCAGCAATCAAATCCCTAGATTGCAAACTAAAACACATCCCTCTCGTTCCCATTGAGATAGCATCACTCACACCAATCGTATTAAACCTAAACCCAACCATCCCTGCATTTTCAACTCCTTCTTTCACAGCCTCAGACAACTTCAGCAAATGCATATTGCAGGTGTTCCCTTCGTACCACACCGACGAGATACCAACTTGGGGTTTCAGCAAATCGTCGTCTGATAAACCCACGCCGTGAAGAATCGCTTGAGACCCTCCTTGCGATTTGGGTTCAGTGATCCTCGAGCTGTACTTGTTGAGCTTATTGGAGTCAGTGGAAGGTGGGGAAGGATCAGCTGTTACGGATTGAACGGAGCAGGAGAAGGTTGAAGGGCGGTTGCGAGAGTTGACATTGTGGGAAGGGACGAGAGGTTTACAGGGGAAGAGAGTGGCGCGTGGGGAAAAGATGGTGGCTTGCATGACGGCGCGTGGAGGAAATGGTCAAAGAGATTGCTTTGGCGGCGCAGTGCGTGTGGAGGAGACACTTCAAAAAGTGAAAACTTCGAGAGTGAGATGGAGAATGAAGAGATATCAATTGGTCAGGTCTCTGAATTCAGATATATACATCTAATTTACAAACGCTGTCGTTTAATACATTTTGAAGAATGTTTGGTTTAACTCGCCGGTTTGGTTAAACCGAACCGGAAATTGGATATTTCTAATTAGAACAAGAAGTGTTGCTAAAATGAAATTGGTGTTTTAGTTTCTAACTAATTAATTAGATTTGGAGTAAGTATCTTACTAAAACAAAAGAAAACAAAAATGATATTATACATTTTTTTTTTTTGGTAAGATGATATTATACATTTTTTTTTATGGGACATGTGCTTTTTGAACTCATTGTGATATGATTTTTACTATATTCCCAAATATAAAAATTTGGAAAACAACCAAAAGATAAAATAAACATTGTATGGATCAAGATTCTCTGACGAGCAGTGATATGACTGTTGCAGAAGACTAATTTGACTATTATGTACATTCGACACATTTGGTTTTCAATATCAGATGATTCATGGATGCTAACGATCCTGTCTTCTTCTTCTTTATGCTTCCAAGAATCCTTAAACTCTGTCTCAATAAGTCAATCTCTCTTTCTTTCTCATACTTTTGTCTATCCATCAAACTTATTTTTTCGTTTAGTGTCTCAATTGTCTCTTCTTTAACTCTTACTTCACTTCTCAGTTCTTCAACTGTCTTTGCTTCTGTTTCTTCTTCTTCTTGTTCCTCAAGCTTCATTTGCATGATTGCTTCTCCTACAAACAATAATCCACATTAGAGATTCATATACTATACTTTTTCTCATATAGAGTTGAAAAGAGTTCAGAGTTTCTTCTTTTATACCAGAGGAAGAAGTAGTGTGGATGATGAGATGATCAAGCTCATTCTTGATAGCTAAATAGAGTTGTTTCCATTTCTCAACGGCTTCATCTCTCACTGCTCTCTCTACACACATCTCCTCAACTACCCATTTCCAGTACTCTCTTTCCTCTGTTGTTGTTGTCTTTGCTTCCTCTCTCTCTTCAAGCTTCTTCCTTAGTCTCCTCACTTCATCTCTCAGCTTCTTCCTCTCTTTCCTCCACTCTCTCTCCGCTTCTTTAAGCTGAGCAAACAACAACTTCTCTCTCTCTTCTCTCTCTTTAATCATGGCTCTTCTTCCTCTGCTTTTCTCTTTTGATGCCTCCTTCATAGTACTTCTCATACTTCTTCTTCTCACTTGCTTGCTTGTGCATCCACCCATGTCTCTTCTTCTTTCGTTTTCTTCTTATGACATGCGATAAGAATACTTTAATGAAAGAGACTCTCACTCTCTTTTCTCTATGTTATTTATGATGTAGAGAGGCTCTCTCCTTCATTCAATGAAGAGTGATCATTATTGTGAATGAGGAAGCTCCCACTAGTACTACTCTTACCCTTTATATATGGCCCTTCTATAAAAGAGCATCTCAAAACAGTAATATCTCTAGCTTTGTTTTTTCACTCACTCACTCACTCACATGTGTAACACACTACAGTTAAAAAAAGTGAAATCAAGATTGGTGTTGGAAGGGAATAAATTAAGAGGCAAGAGATGGGAGATGTCAGAAGGGAAGGTGGAGAAATTGTATTAGAAGATTAGGTTTTAAGGACATGGAAAACTACAAGACTATATTCTCATCCATTACCACCATTAATGGTGTGGGCTTTCATTGTTTTTTCACATGGTCCATCCATCCAACTATTTGGACCCATCCCTCTCTCTATGACTCTATAAGACTATTAATCAACTCTATACTTAATATACTAATCAGTTTCACAGAGTCACAGGTCTCTCCAAGAAAGAGATAACAATATGGTGGGTAGATGTCACATTAGGGAGATGAATAGAGAGACCTGTTTTTGAGTGGCTCAAGGGTCAAATTAATCATATGGAGGAAGAGACAAAAAAAAATATATAAGACTGTTGTCTAATCACAAATCTTATTCATACTGAATAGTTTATGTTTCTTTTTTTAGGATTTACAGCCACATAATCAATTGAAAAAGATTAGATTTGGCCCCATGATTTTTGTTTGCGAGAATGAGAATTTAGTAATATGTGTCTTGGCTGGTTTAAGCTGTAACTTCACGTGAACTTCCCTATTAATCCGGCTCCTCTGTCCTTAATCATTTCTCTCTTTTAATCTAATCTTTGCCATTTCTTAGAAGATTCATAAATCATTACTTAGTGTTTTGTCTCCCTAAATTAGTCCTTTACATCTTTTGGTAAAGAAGAAGGAACTGAGGAAAAAAAAAGATAAAACAGTAGCTTCTTCAGTTTTAGTGTTAACTTAGTTTACTTTTAGTGACACAGTAAATGTAATTTGTAACATTCATAGTATTATGGTATAAAAGAGATGATATTTATTAAAGAGTACAGTAAAACCTCTATAAATTAATACTCTATAAATTAATAAACATTTAATAAATTTTGATGGTCCAAAGTCGGGCCAATGTAAAAATTGACCAAATTCGATAACATAATAAGATAATAACTTTTTTGAAATCCCCATGTAAAATATAGTCCCAATAATATCATAAATTAATAATCACTATATACACACACATATATTTATATATAAGTAGATATATTAATGTATGTTTCTAATTTTTTGTAAAAATAAATTTTCTCCTAGAGTTCACCTCCATAAATAATTTTGTCTTAGTATATTTTTAAAAAATAATCTTGTAATATATACCATCACAAGTCATAAAAATAATCAAATTTTTTTTATGTTTTCAGTTTTTAAATATGCATAATATTCATTTTTACATATAGGATGTGAAGATATAACAATTGAGGTTATTAAGATACATTTGAATTTATGTATATCATTTGTAAGTGAATTTATCTATAATTTTGAACTTTGTAGTCAAATTTCTTTTTAAAAAAATATATAATATTCATTTTCAAACTACTAGCTAATTTATAATATCTAAAAGATTAGTCTTATTTTTGTAAAATTGTGTCCATCCATATCTTTAAAAAATTTCAAAATTAAAAATACCACTATAAATTAATAATTATTAATTTACACTATAAATTAATATCACTATAAATTAATAAAATATCTTGGTCCCAACATTATTAATCTATAGAGGTTTTACTGTATGTACATCTTTTAGCTTAATAGTAGTAATGCCTCAACCTGACCAGAAAAAAACCAGAGCTGTGGCCGTAGTACATTTCATTTTACTAAGACAATACATACATAAAACTCAAACAAGCCTAAAACATATTTTCGGCATCATCATTTCCGTTGTAGTCGTATACAAACATAAACCATCGAACCATGCCACTCTCTAGTGAGTGAGAGCAACAGCAGCTTCTTGAACCAGCGGCTGAGTGACATGCACAAAATGTTGAGCTTCACGCTCAACTTCTTCCCAACACCTATGAGAGTCTCTTCCTTCGCCCATTTTCTTTACAAACGCTACAAATTTCCCCCAGTTATTTGCCTGAAACAACTCTGGGTTCATCCTTAGGTAGGTAAATGCACACATCTCTTGGTTTTTTCCCTCGCTGTTCTGATCAAAGCTCAGCGCTGAGGCTTTGAGGATCTGCTCGTGTGCGTAGTCATCGTACCTAGGCAATGCGTTTTCACCAGCTAGAGGCACATCTGCGGCAAGGGTGGCTAGAGCTACTTGGTTCACTAGCTTCTCTGGTGCACAAAGCGCGTCTTGAGGCTGTTCGTGGTCCCTCATCTCGATACATGTGAAGTTGAATATGGCGTTGTGTCTGGCTAACATTTGGGCGATTGGGAGGTACCCATCTCTGAACCTTGTGTTGTAGTATCCCGCTGTGAGCTCAGGCGCGTGAGAGCGTGTCCCGTAGTGCCAGTGGATTCCAGCGATTTTGACTGATATTTTGACCCCCGTGCTTTCGAATATTGATTTGGCTGATGAAAGAATCCGCTCACCATGATCCAGTAGCATCTGAGAGTACCATGAGAGGAAGAACTCTCCGTACTCTGTGTTCCAACCACCATCTTCCTTTTTGAAGAACTGAGTGTCTTCTGGCCAGTTATTGTAGTGACCAGCATCAGTTGGACCAGTACTGCCCCATTCTGGCTTCCCATAAGCCTCAGCTGCTGCTTTCAAGCTACCTAGAGAGTACTGCATCAATCAAACCAAGAAAAACAATTTAGTAATACATTTTTTTGAACAATGATTCTGAGGCTATTTATGAGTGATTTGTGGAAATTATACCTTATCATAGCACTGGAAGGCTCCAATCCCTGGGAACTTCCATGTCCCTTCTTGCTCGGGGTACGAAGGATAACGCAGCTCTCCTGCAGGTCCCATTCCAACTTGGATTTCCTGAAAAGAATAAATTCAATCCAAACTCAGACTTCTAACACAAAGTAGTATTGAAATAGAGAGTCAAAGAGGCATGTTCTAAAATGAATCACGATGGATAAGTCAGAGAAGCTAAAACATACCACAATGGTGTCTCCAAGAAGATGTTTGAAGTTGTCTCTGAAAGCACGCATGAAATCGCCATAGCATTGAACGGGCGTTCTACCTTTCAGAACCGGGAGTGTATCAGCGCCGAGTGATATATACTCATGGTTCCTTCTTCCCCACTGATCAGTGTATGCAAGTTCTGGGTCCTTGTCAACCTCTTCAATAACCCACTGAGGCAGAGGAATACTGGAGAAGAAAAAGATTTCACAATTATAACGCAAATTCTCATTAGTTAATAATATACGAAACAGACTTCTACACTCTTATATGAAGTAACTCTATATTGAAAAAAAAAAAATAATAAGTCACTGGTCCATTTAAACTAAACGTCTTGACCATAGAATCCATTTTTTGTAATCAATCTTGAAAGAGACGTAAGACGGATGAGGGGAAAGAAAAAACAAAAGAGACCCTAAAGGAGTACAGAGTTTTGTAAGGAGGAAACAACAGAGAAAAAGACCAACAAGTTGTTTAATTTGAGACTCCCACGTAACAGAGAAAAGGATGTGGCTCTTAAACTCTTGAATCTATCACTTTCTTCTTGAATATTGTATCATCACGTGTCACAGCAATTCCCGTACACGTTACTCCATCAATCAATTAAAAAAATGAACATTTTTCTGCCTACTCAAACTCTAATTAACCACAATCATCAAAAACTTTCAATCTTCAAATCCTACTTCTGATCATTCCAATTCTAAAACCTCCTCAAGACTCTCTCTAATCAAACTAAACATTCACATAGTCTATGTTATATCGAACCTGCCTAGCCTAAAATTCCAATTTTTAAGTATCACAAAATGCTTAAACAATACACAAACAAAGAGATTGAAGCATAGAGAAACACGTACGTTACAGAGTCACCAACGTTACCACCACACTGATGAAACGACATAACAGCTTGAACCTTAAGTCCAAGCCTCTTAGCCATCTCAAGCAACTCATTATAACCTCCCCAATTATAAGTTCCAGGAGACTCCTTCTCAACCAAACCCCACCAAACATCAATCATAATCCCTTCAACACCAGCACTCTTCAACGCCTGCAAACTAGCTTTCATCGCCTTCCTCCGATTCACCGTATTCCCCATCGTAACACTATCAAGCGGCATCATAACAAACACAGGAACACCTCCTCCTTCTCTCTTCTCCACTATCCCTCCTTCTTTATAAGTTCTCTGTTCCTCCACAGTCTCAACTCCGCTCTCCACCGCGTAAGCTTGACACGCCACCGACAGATCCGCACGCGTCGCCCCCAAAACAGGACTCCTCGGCGGCGATGGATCTGTCCCGTGAGACTTATAGTTTATATTAATCGGTTTCGACATCATCATCCTCGCCGACGGTGGTGAAACTGATAACGACGAATCCGTCATTTCACCGGATTTGATCGGAGTTCCGGCGAGTACTCCGAGCTGATGCGACAAATTAAGCGCCATTTTTTTCTCTATCGAACTTTCCCGAGAAAACGAATCGTTTGAATTTGAATATTTCTTCTTTACAGAATTCAAAATCGAGTTTTTGTTGTTGTATGTGTGACGGAGGAGATCTGAGACGATGAAGAAATGGGGAAGATATTTATAGAGAGAAGAAGCATAAAGAGGATAAGATTATAATAATGTTTTTTATTTAATTAGAATACGTGATCGTGTGACACGTGTATAAACGTATGATGTGGATAAAGATACGGTTGAGATCTTTTTAGAGTCAGAATTGGACGGTGAGGTTAGATGTGCGCGTGAACTTTCTAGCAGACGCGCTTTTAACCTCATATTATTTTTTGTGGTTACCAAAAAAAATAAAGATTTTAAATATTTTTGATAGAAATTGTAATGAAATTAAATATTTTGTAATCACGAGTTTATTAGGTGAAGAGGATAGTGATGGTGTTGGATGGGTTCTATAACGTTCTCTTTCATGAAACGTATATGTTTTTTTTTTCTTTTTCATATTGGTTATTTTTGTAGATATGTATATATATATATATATATATATGGAAATAACAAATATGAATACGTTATTAAGGTTTTAAAATGAGCCAAAATGCTTTACGTAATGAAATGGAAATAATACGTACATTACAA